AGAAAGCAAATCCCTTATGCTTGATGAGCACAGGGCGCCCTTTAAAGGACTCGGTAACCTCGGACATAGCGACGATCGTGTTGTACAACAGGGAGAAAAAGACTGCTCCACCTTTTGTGAAGAGCCCGGCAGATGTCTGGGGAGCGTTATAGAAGCAGGATCCGGCAATCAAGGCCATAACCAGAGACAGAATCTGTTTGATCAAGAATGTGGATTTCTCCCCCCACAGAATCTGATACTGGCGCCGCGTACATGCGAGAACTTGGGTCCCAAATCCAGTGGTGAACGGACTCTTCTGTGGTTGGTGCGTGGTCTTTTCGAAGGCAACAGACTCCTTGAATGCCTCCGTCCGCTCCTTGGCAACTGCGCTTGTGGGATAGTCGTATTCTGCTGTCATGTGGCTGTAAATAGCTGACGCCTTATACTCTGCCATGATAGCATCGGCATTCCGCGGAAACCTGTTTTCATACCCAGGCCTTATCCTTCGCTCAGTAGGCACGGTCACACCTGTTAGAAAGTCGCCTAGCAAAAGGTAGATGTTAGTCGAGATTCCGCAGTGGGAGATGATATGAGACGACTAACCAACATTGGCACCATCGGTATAGACAAACCCCAGGTTCTCCATGAAAGGTTTTGCTGCAGCTGCAGGGCCATAGAAGATTTGCTTCCCCTCGTCCAGAACCAAGACCTTATCAAAGAGGTTGTAGATTCCATTCCCTGCTTGATACAGGGTCACAATTGTTGAGAGTCCGAGAACGTTAGTCATCGCTCGCAAAGCCTTAGCCCACTCTAATGCAGTACTGGCATCGAGACCGCGGGTACTGTTGTCCCAGCAAAAGACAGATCCTCTTGTTGCCAGGCATTCAATGATAGATACTCGCTTTCGTTCTCCTCCTGATACGCCCCGCACAAACTCGTTCCCCACCTTCGTGTCGGCGGTATGTGAGATCCCCATAGATTCCAGGAGGAACTGCTTTGTCTCAGCAGTATATTCGCTCACAGATGCGGTACCATCAGGAAGATGAGATGGAACTTTGAGCCGAGTAGCAAAGTCCATTGTTTGACCAACGGTCAACCGGGGGTAGAATAGCTCTTCTTCCGTATTCATCACAATATGGCTTCGATATTGAGCTGCTTCTTCATGGGACATATTTCCAAAGCTCACGTCGCCCTTGATGGTATGGTAGCCAAGGCGGCGATTGGAGAGTAAATTGAGAAGAGTGGTACACCCTGAACCCGGGCGTCCCAAGACTAGGAGCATCTCCCCTGGCTTGACACAGCCGTGACTTTCCGTCAATATAGATTTCAGGGGTGGTTTCCGGGTGAAGTCACGGATTCGTTGAGGTACGTTGAACTGGGAGAATAGGTTCTCATTGACTGCTGCCTCCGCTGCAAGGACATCCACGCCGAGGTTCTTCCAGGTCACACCTAGCTCTCGCTTCTTGAATCCTGCCGCAGCCTCACGTTCCTGGCTCCGGATGACCTGCGGGGTCATGCTCCATTCCGCGTCTTTCCCAGGGGGGGAGGTGGTGTTCGCATGGGGTACTGTCAGGGTTTCTGAACTTGGAGCTTCTCGAACATTTATATGTGGAACATTCAGTGTGTCGAGACTCTTTCGTTCTGGAATTGGTAAGTCGGAAGACTTTTCGTCTTCCGGGAACTCAGGAGAATTCATGACAGCTGAATTAATAGCCGGACAAGATTGATAATACACGAGATATTGCTTTTCTGCAGTTCACGAGAATGGAAGCATCTTATATACATTTACGAAGCCCCTAGGGGTCTCCAAAATGATGAAGGGCCTCTAGTATTACCTCAATTGAATTGGGTGAGCCGAGTACCCGTGAGTAGAGTACTTACAGATGAGAAACATTATGTGCACCGTGCACCTGCTATCTACTATCCATGAGGTTCCGCATCTGGTTCAATCGTCAGGGCGGATGATCGGCTTCTATCGTCTTCCCAAAACGGCAATATAATGCAATGGCCTCGGTTGTTTGCCCCATAGCTGTTTCACAGTAGATGAAATGCCCACGACAAATTCACGATAGCTCGGTGGGTCGGCTTTCTAGAATACCTCGGGAAGATCATTATTGTTCTCGCTTTTCTTTTCGATGCCGTAGAGATAACCATATTTCAAGTAGCAATGATTGGCTGCAGCAAAATGCGGGTGGCGAGGATGAAGCGTCCTCCGTCAAACAGTTGCGCTGGGGTATGTTAGTCGAATGACTGGATGTCACGCCCAATCAATATTTCAGCATACGCGTAGCGCTTGAAACTCTTCAGGCATTGGGTTGAGGGGGCGGCATGCCGACTAGATCTGGCGGCATAGATAACCGACAGTCTCCCTTTTTGAGCGTTGCCGACCTATCCGGGTATCCAGACAATCCACATTGCTGGAGGTTGTCCAGACCATCGATAGTCTTGGCTAACCCACAAGAGCCCTGTCTAACGAAGCAATGTCACTATCTGTCTGCATAAGTAATCCTATGCCACTTATATCCCGCTTCGGTATCTGCTTGGCAAGGAGGTCAATCATTGCGCACATCATCGAAATAGGTATGAATCCGGGCTTCAAGTGGCGCTGCTTATTTACTATCGGAAGAGGACGAATGGCTTGGCTTCAGGAGCGGAAAAGACCGGAATTGATATCCGCGAAAAATGCAGGACGGTAAAAGGGGTGGATAAATCATTCGAACGAGGAAGATGTCGCTGGCTAAGTTGGGGGTGAAGTGAGAAAAGCAGAAGTTCTGCCTGCTCGCCTTGGCGGGCTGGAGCCTCAGGTTCTCAATTCACATTCCTTCGCTCTTCTTCCCACCACAATTACTTACTCTACCAATTCAAGGCCCATAGTCCTCATGTCTTTTTGATAACTCGTCTAGTTTCAGGTAAGCGTCCCTGGTGCATACCTGAGTTGGACAATTGATGAACACTTAGCTATTGACACAGGAGAATATCTAGCAGGTACCAGACATACCGTATGCAGCACAGCATAGAAACAATGCGAGCTCGTGAGAGCGCTTCCCACGGGTTACTCCAAAACATTCATCTATGGTGTTGACACCAGAGTGCATGTGTTAGACTTAAGCGGTAAAAGGATGGAACAAGGACATATCGAAGAGACGAAGACAAGTCTTAATTTATTATCAGATATCACCTTAGTTGGATTTGACAAGTTTGCCATATCGCCATACATGCGTAATATTCTTTGGATCAGAGACCACTGCTATGTTTTCTAGTGGGTTTGCTGTCAGTGCGATGATGTCTGCGTCAAATCCCTCCCTCAACTGCCCACTCTTTGGTGCCTGGTCACCGAGCGTTAACGGCCCATTGGCCGTAGCAGCTTCAACTGCAGCCAGCGGTGTCATGCCTGCTGCAACCGCGTACACCAGTTCTTTGCCATTGCGTCCATATCCCAATGCGGGATTATCCGAGCTGATGAATTGATCTGTACCAAGAGCAATAGGCACGCCACGTTTGACTGCTAGCTGATACGCCCTCTTATGCGTATCAGCTACCTCAAGCAACTTTTGGTATGAGCCGGGCGTGAAGAGATCACGCATAGCCAGCCCGCTTTCAATAACACTGCGTGTTGCCACCAACATAGCGCCCTTCTCCAGCATCAAGTCGATAGCCTCTTCATCCAAATAGCTGCCGTGCTCAATCGTGCGACAACCCGCACGGAGAGCATTCATGATGCCTGCCTTGCCGTGACAATGAGCGGCCACAACGCGTCTTGCCCGCGCTGCCTCGTCAACGATAGCTTTCAGCTCTTCGAACGAGAATTCTTGATGCTGCGGGTCGTCGATAGCGCTCACTACACCACCGCTGGCGCAGACTTTGATGACGCGTGCTCCATGCCGCAGCTGCTTTCGTACGGCTTGCAGACACTCAGGCACACCATCTGCGATCGTCAAAGGCAATCCATGCGTACATAGGTCACGCAAACCCTCGAGATTCACACCGTGTACGTCGCCGTGACCTGCCGTCATGCTGATGGCGCTGTGCGCACCGTAGATGGTCGGTCCTGGAATGCGGCCCTCGTCGATGACTTTGGCCAGCTCGCAACCGTATCCTCCAACTTCGCGAACTGATGTGAATCCCGCCATGATGGTTGCATATAAGTCAGGGACACTTCGTGCCCCTGCCAATGCTTGTGGGGTGTTCACAATCGAATCCATGCTCGCCGCCGTCGCGCCTAAGAAATGAATGTGGCAATCCCACATGCCTGGCATGGCAACTGAGACATTGGTGGTAACAGCATCCTGATACTCGACTGGTACTTCATACTGGGGGCCCGAATAGAGGATTGTTTTGGATTTCCAAACCACAGCTCCGCGGGGAATTGGTGATCCTCTTCCTGGTATTAGGATATCCGCATTGATGCGGTAAAGAGTGCTGTCTGTCAGAGGGAGATGCATAATTAAAGGGGTAAGTATGAGTGCAACACAGTTCGGATCACAGTTCTGACACTGACAAGGATGTGATCCTGGTCCAGCTAGGAAAGTAGCATATATTAATTAGATGCAGGATGCCGAGGCTATGAGCCCATTCGACGTGGTGTGTCCACTCGGAGTTGGCTTATTTGTCGTTAGCGACAATATTAGACGCGAAATCTTGTACTCGTGTGATGGCCGACGGTCTGGCGAGGCCCATTTGGGGTTACAATTTACCAGATCAGTAGGTCGAAGCGAGGATGTTCCGGGCCAATTCTGGCTTAGTTGAGCATACAAGCCATGACCGTAATACGCTGGTGTGAGCCTAAGCATGCCGCTAGTCGGGATGGCAACACATCGGCGGGCCCAAGCCTCGGCAGCGGCGTCACGCCAATAGCCCTAACGGCGCAGCGGCAGATGGTACCGTCAATTAGTCTCGGGTCGAGACCGTACTGCATTTGATAGTATATTGCCTTGAACAGAGGTTAAAGAGCTTCCCTGTCCTTCCTTTGCTATTCGCATCGTCCTGGCAAGAATTCTGTCTATTCAGCACAACCATCCGACATGTCCGCCTCGGACAGTACCAACTCCTCTCCTCCAACGGAGGACGAGAAGAGCTTTGCTAAGGGTCCCAATGAGACTATCCAGCATATTTCAGAGAGTGAGGAGAAGGCCATCATTCGCCGCATTGATCTTTGCCTTCTTCCATTGATGTTCTTTTCATACTTGCTGCAATATCTCGACAAGACCACCTTGTCGTATGCATCGATCCTGGGCCTTTTGAGTGGCACGGTATGCTCCGATCTTGTGTGCTCCTCAAATTCAGCTTCAGCTAACATTATATCAGCACATGACCACAGCTCTTTACTCATGGACCTCGAGTGCCTTCTATTTTGGTTACCTAGTCGCATCCTACCCTGTATCCCTGGGATTTGTAAAATTTCCGCTCGGCAAATACCTTTCTACTATGATGTACGCTAGTGCCCTTCCAACTCATATAACAATATACTAACGGGCCAGGATTCTATGGGCTATCGTCTTGACATGCCACGCAGCAGCTTCCAACTTTGCAGGGATGACCGTCCTACGTGTACTTTTGGGAGTCTTTGAAAGCGCCATAAGCCCCGGGTTCACCTTGGTTGTGAGTATGTGGTACACGCCATCAGAGCATGCTCTGCGCAGCTGCATCTGGTTCGCAGGCAACGGCGTCGCTGCAATCTTCGGAGGCGTTCTCGCCTACGCCATCGGCCACATTGAAGACAGATTGGGCCCGTGGCAATGGCTCTTCATCATATTCGGACTGATCACCCTGGTATGGTCGATATTTCTGTTCTTCGTCCTGCCCGACTCCCCACGTAATGCCAAGTTCCTCCAACCGAATCAGCGCGAGCCCGCCTACCTTCGCGCGCAAGCATGTCAGAAGAGCTACCAAAGCCGCGAATGGAAGAAAGATCAATTTATCGAAGCGTGGCTTGACCCGCAAACATGGTTCTTGTTCGTCTACAATTTCATGGTCTCCCTACCAAATGGAGGCATAACAAACGTGAGTTCTCTCAAGCCATCTGAACCATATGAACGAAAGAAACATGCACTAAACAAGAAGGCAGTTCTCTAGCCTGGTTATCGAGTCTTTCGGCTTCGATACCTTCAATACTCTCTTGTACAGCATCCCCATGGCTGCTGTGGCTCTCGTCTTTCTGCTTGTTAGTGCATTCACATGCAATCGCTTCCGTGGACTTCGCTGCTATTGGATGATTATCACTCTTCTGGTCAGCCTCATCGGCATTCTCCTTATGCGACAGCTCCCCACCGAGAAGAAATGGGGTCGGTTGGTAGGGGTCTGGCTCGTCAGTGTCTTTGGTGCCGGATGGCCTCTTAGTCTTAGTCTGGTCTCAAGCAACTTTGCCGGATTCACCAAGAAAAGTACCGTGACAGCTATACTTTTCATTGGATACTGCGTGGGAAATATTGCCGGCCCGCAGTTATTCAAGACCAACGAAGCGCCAAAGTACTTGGTAAGAGCCCTCTCTTCTATTTCACTCTGTCTTCCTTTGCCTGCTGTTATTGAGGTACTGACGGCACGTGTAGACTGCGTTCGCCGCTATTCTGGCCTGCTTCTGCATTGCTGTCGCGGATGTTATTGCTCTGCGAGTATACATGATGTGGGAGAATGAGCGAAGGAATCGCAAGCAGGGTCGGACCATTGAGCCCGAGTCACCAGAGATGGAGGATGCTGTACAGGCGTATTCGGGCCACAACGAGTCAGGCGATATTACAGATTGGCAGAACGAGAATTATCGGTACTGTTTGTAGGATAGGATAGAAGCTGCTGCAGAAGGATAAGTGTGCAGTAGGTTTGAAAAAGTGAAAAGAAAAATCGATACTGCTTAATTCTGGAAACGAAGTCTGGGGTATACAGCTGGAAATCATGTGCACGTGAATCAGGTGACGAAGAATCCTCAGGCGAAGCTCGTCTGCCACCCCAGGAATTCCATCACCAACTCCCACTCAAATCGACCGATTCGTGTTCTCTCACCTGCCACATAAAGCTCACGTCGCTGCCACAGTAATTCAACAACTGTCTGTGCCCGTACCGTGTTCTCATACGGGGCTTTTGCCTGAGCTGCCTGGAATTGTGCCAAGGCCCGTGCTTTCTCAGATTCGGTCGTACTGCAGCACGAGGCAATGAAGAGTGGCCATAAAGGCCAGGAGATTGGGAGGTGATCTAGCGATGAGACTATCGATTCAACCAGAGATAGGATATAATCGACATGGCGCTGCTTCCGCGTTGCATCTAACCCCAGACTGTGTTCACTGGTGTAGCCGAGGAAAGCTGGCGTGGACGCCTCTGAGAGAAGCAGACACGCAGCAAGACGATAGGATTCGCCAGTGTACTCAAGAAGACGACGCCTATGGACAACCTCGGCGGAATCCTGACATCGTCGCAGTGATTCAGGGAGCAAATGTGTTGTATCCTGGAGATTCCTTTGTAAAGTGATAATTTTGGCCTCGATGGCGCTTCGTCTCTCTTCAACTTCGATCCCTTCTCCAAACATGACCTGCACATCATCCTTGAGGCTCAATATATCATTAATAAGCAGGAGCATGCGATTACTCATGCCATTCCACACGTCAATTTCGCGAAGCGTATCCGGTTGCATGGCCTTGGACAGTGACTCTGAAGATGTCCAGCAGGTCCCTTCTTCTACGGGGGACGAGGGATCGTTCCGCACTTCTACAGCAGGTAGTACCTTGTCAATTGGGAAAAGGGACTTTGCCAGCACCAGATGCGCCGAGAAGTAACTCATGAATAGTTGCGGCACATATGTTGTTGTATGGCGACGAATCCTTTGCTTAATGACCATCTGGAAACATGTCAGGTGGCGAACCCAAGAGGCGTCACAGCTGTGGGATATCTGCGGCGAGTCAATACTGACATTCATAAGAACACCAAGAACGAGGAGACTACATACAGCCGAAGAGCAGAGAAATATAGTCGGCAGCAGCACGTCTTCAAAATCGAAACAATTTTCCGCTAACGCTTGACGCAAGCCTTTGAGTACCCTTTGCCGGACCTGCATTTCAAATAGTTCAAAGCGACTATCGATTGATCTCAGGTACTGCGCGCTGGTCATGAGTACAGAATAATATGCTAATTCGGACCGAAATACCATGCGCATTACTGTATTGCGAAGAGGATTGGTTTCCTCATTGTCGATAGTAACGGCAGCAGGGCACATCATCGACTCGTAAAACGACAAGCACACATCATCAACATCGGGTACACCGAGGGTCCAAGGCAAGGTTCGGAAGTTGGTATTTGATGACTGAACCTTGCTTTCTTTCCAGTGATGATACTGACTCTGATATGTGTCTCGGGTCAAGAAAGAAACGCTTTTTGACGTCGCGGCCCGCAGTGGGCTGTGCGAAGAGGGTGGAGTGAGGATCAATGCGGAATCCCCGTCGCTATCAGGCTGATCTTTGCGTTCGATCCGCTTCGAAGGCGGAAGATGATCGTCCTCTTCAAATTCTTTGTATGGAAGCGAACCTCTTCTGGTTACGATGCCGGTTCGTCCATGACATTTCCCCGCGGCCCGCATTTCATCCTCCCATTGAAGGCGGACGCCGTAGTTGCATCGATTCTTCGACCGTTGGCAGCGCATACATACTGGATGAGCTTCTGGACGCACCGGAAAATAAGCTTCGCTGTCGTTGGAAATTTGCCGTGTAGAACATCGGATCGAGTCATAAGGAGCACGAGGCTCCTATCAACCTAGGAATAGGACAGGCAATGGACAACACGCACCGTCGCATTTGACCCGTCTCCGACGACACGTAAGACAACCGCTGCGGGACCGGACTCTGGGCTGGGATGTCATCGGAGGCGACGAATCTGAGTCGGAGGGAGTTGGAGGGCCAGGGTTCAACGACCACGAGATGAACATGTCGACAGTCAATCATGTCTTTATTATGACACTCAGCGCCAGATCTAGTTATTTCCCTTGTGAGAAGGACAAGATGGGGAACAGACCTTTGGGGGACTCCAAGTGGGCTAAACAGGCTTACGGAGGGGGAAGGCTATGGTGCATGGCCGGACACACGGCCATCTCCTACGGTCCTACCTCGGGGTGGCCGCGGACGAGCTGAAAGCCTAACAATGCGGTTAATTTCGAGGGCTGGATGGGATTGGCGAGTGGGAGAAGCTCCATCCGCCATCGGAACGCTAATCGCGTCCGAGGCGGACACTAATGAGGTTTCCCCGTGCCCTGAGGACGGTAGGAACGGTCCGTCAGCCAACAGTCGCTGGAGTCCCCCCCTCATCATTTAGTGGGATAGCAAGCTGAAACTAACGGTGTGATTGCGTGTCCAATCGCCTCGAACCATTGTCAACTATTCTTACCATCGGCGGTAATCCGATTACTGACGCCTTTCGATCCAAATCGCGCATTCCTAGGCTTTTTCATCGGAGGATCGGGCTCCACTCGAAGACCAGGAATGTCATCCTGGACCGAGCGCTAGATGATACAATTATCCTTTAAACCTAGGTTTACCTTAAGAGATGGCTCGATGCGGCCATTCGACTGAGCTGTCTCAGCTACTAAATAGTATCGCAATATCCTCAAATCCCCACCATTTGTGCCAATATTCTCCTCCCGCCTCAGGAAAAGAAATTACGCGACTAATCCTGCTGTATTCGATCCAGGTCCAGACCATGGAGTTTTTCATTAGTTCAGTGGCAGGATTTCAATTCCAGCTGGTGCCGACTACCCCTGTAGCATAGAGGAAGTATTTAGCAGGCCTGCATCATGAGATCTAGAGCCCTATAAACCGATCGGGGCCTGCAGGAACCTCGCAGGGACCCAAAGGTTCTGGGCACATGGTGTGTTTCAGAGCATGTAGGCCACCATAATGAGCTCGCAAGAGACTGCCTCAAGGGTACCTGTGGTGATAGCTGGATACACCGTTCCTATCGTCTGCATGGTGATATGCACCGGTTTACGGCTTCTCGTGAAAGTTCGTGGTCCATCAGAGGACCGCTTTCATGCAGATGACTACCTAATTACCCTAGCCACGGTGCGTTTACCTCCCGATCGCCTGGTCCCTGCGCATACTGACGATCCTCTTTGTTTATTGATTAGATACTGGAGGTAGCGTACAGTATAATCATGCTGGCTGTCGGTATGAATGCCCTCATGCATCTCTGACCGGAAATCAGCTAATGTACGTAGGGGTGCGTCATGGTTTCGGTAAACATGCTTCAACTCTCGCGACTAGTGACCTAGAGGCATTCTTGAAGGTACAATGAGCCATTGACTACCTTCGATGTAACTGACACATATATAGGGAGACTATATTGCTAGCCACCTCTATAATGTCGGCCTGGCAAGTGTCAAACTCGGAATCCTCGCCTTATACTACCGGATATTCGCTATACAGTGGTTTCGCAGAACAGTAATTGGCTGTGTCACATTCGTCTGCCTGTGGATTGCGACCATAGAGATTTTTATGGGCCTGCTCTGCCGACCACTAGAGGCTTTCTGGGATGCCAATATCAAAGGCCATTGCTTCAACTCCAGCGCACTGTCATACTATGTCAACACCTCCAACATGATCACCGACCTTGTCATATTTGCTCTCCCGATAGGAGTGATTGTGCGGCTCCGCACGACCCGGAGCAACAAAATTGCCCTCTGTATTATATTCTCCATTGGATTCATGTAGGTTCCTTCCCCATCTTGCCCTCGCTACCGGCCAAGCACTAACACTTACATAACCTCACCAGAACATGTGGCATCAGCGCTGCCCGTCTAGCCTTCGTCTTTGCCGAAAACTCATCCGACATCACCTGTGCGTCCTCGCCCCTCTTCCACCTCCACAAACTACCACCACAATTTGAACACACTAACATGATATAAAAAAAAGGGGACGGCGTCGACCTCGGCGTCCTATCCGGCTTTGAATCGCTCGGGGGCATCCTCTGCGCCAACCTCCCCATCATCTACCGCCTCTTCAGGCAAGCCGCACAGAAAGTCACCAGCCGAACAGGAGGCAGCTCTTCCCTTCCCCATCTACAGTATGGGCGCGAGTCCAAGAATTTCACGTCACGGTCGCGCCCTCGCCGACACCGTCTTAGCGAAACGCTCAATGAACAGTGGATTCAATTGCAGAATGGCAATTCGTCGAATGATAGCCATCTCCCTGGGGGACCACAGGATTTCGCTGTGCAGAAGGTAGTGGACATGGAGACGGGGATGGAGGTAGTGCGGTTGAGTAATATCCCAAACGCTATTACAGTAAAAAGGGAGTTTCATCAGACGGTGGAGGGTCGTCGGTGATAAAGCTCCTTTCGTGCTGTCTAGAGAGTAGTCATTCATTTGTGTTCCCCCGTCGGGGGAGGGTTTCTTATGTTGAGCTAGACAAAAATAGATGAACAGTCACCCCTTACTCTGGGATTTTAGGGAACCGTGGTAAGTTGAATATGAGAATGGAATAGTAACTCGTAAAGCCCCTCCCCTCTCACCCAAGGAGATGCGTAGTCGGAAACCTTCTGAGTTGGTTCCATACTACCGAGGGTAGTGCTGTTATTGAAATTAATGATGTAGTACTGAATCAGTTTGTGGACGGTAATATCAAATGCGAAGTACTACTAGTAGTAGTATTAACTCGACATCGAGACGATTGGTAGTATATAGTAAATTTGCACTGAACACAGATGTGAATCACATGCCGTCAACAACTCTGTTTCGGGTTCTGGCTTACTTGGTTACATCTTTAGATCGCTTTGTCAGCTTTTCTGGTTGGACTAGGGCGTAGCTGCTACAGTTTTAGGGTTCATATAGATAGTATATAGGATGGCCAGACACTAAGTACTGGGTCATTCACGCAGTAGTAGTTGGCAGTCTCTTGATCACTCAGAGGATATGTCTGTATCAACAATAATCAAAAGTTATGTTTTCAGATAATAAGTCACACGAACGAATGATATCAAGTACAGGAAACCTGACACGTACCCAGGCCAACCAGTCCAGCCCAAACCGACTTATCTAGATTATATACAAGCATGAGAGAAGGCATTCACAAAATGTAGTAGACCTTATAGACACATTGCGCCTTTCCGAAATCGCCCAAATAAAAGAACATAGCAAGGACAAAGAGGGGAATCGCCCAGCTATATTTACCGAACCACTATAGACAGACAAATCACAACACTTTGTATGTTGGCGGTTTATTTCAACCGCCAATGACCATCCAAGCGATCATACCTCCCCACATGCCCACAAAGGCAATGGTCAGGATGGAGGCACCCGCCTTGTCACCTGTGGTGATCTTCGATTCGGTGCTGCCACTGTTGCCGGTGTTGTCGCCTGTACCCGCGTTCGGATCGCTAGTACTGTTGCCGCCGGTACTGGAGGTCACAGGGGCTGTTTGCTTCGTGGTATACAATGCGGAGGCCAGAACGTTGGTGACGGCGATCTCTTCCTCCATTCCGTTCCACCCATCCCACTTTTTGGGCCACCAGCGCACACCACAGGTGTTGTTGCCCATTCCGTTGCAGGAAGCTGCAGCAGCTTCGGCGGACCCCTGCAGTTTTGGCTGAATCAATGCGGACGTCGACGGCATAATCAGAGCCACAAGCCCAAGCCATCCCGTGACGAGTCCCTTGAACAGAATTTCGTTGTCGTTGCACACTTCGGTCGGTTCGCAGAGAATTTCGGACATGATGTTTCCACCATACTTGGTCGGGAAGAAAGTGTCGAGAGTCACGTTCAAGAGACCCTCCGCCGCATTCTTCCATTTGGCCTTGCCGGTCTACGAGTGGCATAAGATCAGCACCTGCTTCCTCCACACCTGGCGGGGGCCAAAATCACTTACGTAGTTGTACATGTACGCGGCTCCCGTTAAGAAGACGCCGTAATTGTAAGACCACTGATTGTTTCCTTGGGTTTTGCAGTTATTATCGACATCGGTGGAGTCGGCCACGTTCCAAGTCTGGTTGTTTAACAACGGAGTCGAGGCACACCAATCGAAAATCTTCTCTGCCCAGTCGGCGTACGTGTCGTTGGAGGTGTAGCGGGCCAGGCGGGCAGCGAGTTGAAACAGACCTCCGTTAGAGATGGAGTTCTTCATGGCGTAACCGGCTTCATAAGGATAGATCTGCCAGCGCAGACCACCGCCACATGTCGAATCGTCCCATCGATCGACCTGAGTGTTGTAAACGCCCTGGGCCAAAGCGAGCCAGGAGTATCCGGAGGAGCTGTCGGCGAATTCGATCTCGGCAGCAGTGATGGCGGCAAGACCCCAGAACATTTGATCGTCGTTGCCCTAATAACGGCAAGACGAGTCAGACTATTGTTCAAGCTCAGGGGGGGGGGGGGAAATGGGTATCGTCATATCGCTTACCAAGTAACTACTGTAGTTGGCGGGCATGTAATCGCAGTCACCCGCCTGCCATTGCATACCCTGACGGACCTCGTCGTTGTAGGTACTGTCTCCGGTGTAATACCAATAGAGGAGCAAACTTGTGAAGAGTGCACTACCTTCCCACCACTTGCTAGGGAAAGCACCGGGAATCTGACCGGTTTCGTTTCCATGGTACCAGGTCATGGACCCGTAGGCGGTCTTACTGGCGGCATCTTTGATGGAACCTATACGGACGATGATGATGGTGGTCAGTTGTCAATTCATAATATTGGTGTGTATGTTGTTGGGACGGAAGACACGGCGGACTAGATTTGTGACGCAACTGCTCCCAAGAATGTAGGAGAGGGGAAAGACAACGGGATAAGGGACGGGCGGTGACAGCAGAGGATATGATAAGATAAAGAGCTAGAAGTGGGGGAAGGCATACTGGTACTGCTGATATCGATATCAATGGCGTGGGAGAGGTGAGAGAAAAGCGCTGTGTTTAGGAATAACCCCCCATACAGGCAATCTCGAACGAGACGCATGGCGGGAGGGAGCGGGGAGGGAAAGAGAGAGAAAAAGGGGTGGGAGGAGGAGGAAATGGGAAGGAAACGAATGTATAGAAGCGAGGGACACGGTCAAGGAAGAGACTGACCAGCAGAAACGGAGAGTAAACGAGAGTGAAGGGGAGAGGGGGGTGATAGGATGGATGGAGACAGTTGACAGTCAAGTCAAGAATGGGGATGATGGCATTGCAGCAAGACAAGAAAAGCAAGAGGGAAATCAAGCTGCGTAGACGCCGGGCCAGGCCTATTTTTAATCGGCGGGAAAAAAAGAAGGGAAGAAAGGCCCAAAAAAGCCAACCATCGGCACCGGTGGAGTTGGTCCCCGTCCACGTCAGCTCCTCGTGCAATCAGCGTGCTTGCCCTCGCGTTTCTCCTTGACCCCAAGGGTCATGGTGTGACAGGGTCAGAAGGGGTTCAGAAAGGAGCTAAAAGAGGGTGATGAAATTCCTCCCCCAATAGTCATCAGAGTTTATTGATTTGGTTCCCTGGAGAGAAGTTGAGGCTGGATGGAAGTACTTTGAAAGTTCTGATAATAGTATCAATGTGAGCCTGAGGCCGCAATACGAATACGGCATATTCCGATCATCATTTTCCTCTTTTGGATGTTCTTGCCCTTTTTTGCCCCTGGAAAATCAAGCCAAACAATAACTAATTCCAAACAAAGGCTGAGTTGAGTGAGTTCTGGCCCGGCGGGTACCATGGATCCTCTTTGGCTTCCCTTTTCCCCATGAATGGCTGCCACAGTCAGTCCGTCTCGCAACTTTGCGCCCGGTCGCAAAGATAGGCATGTCTTGCTATCCTAAGCTTTTCTGCCCAGCACTGCTAATCCTCACCAAGCAATGCCTGGGCATTCCGCAGTTTGAACTGTCATTGCAGCCTGTGATCTTGGCAGAACCCAATCAGCCGATCGGGGGGGAAACAGTCAGCCCCCTTGGCGGGTACATCACAAGCACCACTCGGAATGCCATTGGGAGTTTGTCTCTGCTCGGACGCGCCATCATCAGCGCTCTTTGATCAGGATCGTCACCTGCTTTGGGGTCGAAGCTTGCGATCGCTGCGAAGGGCTGTATCTGTTTGTACTATTCAGGGCGTTCTTCCCGTCGCTCTGGATCTTCGGTGCCTAATTCTCCAACAACCAACACACAACTATGGGACCTTGTTCGTCGCTCAATTGTGAACCTGAATTCGTCGCACTTATCCCCACTTCTGCAGTATGGCAATGTGCCGTTCTAGACTTCTGCGCCGTAGTTAACTGCGGAAGTACCTGCGTGTGTCAGCCTTGACACTCCGATCCCGGTCCGTCATGTGACAGGACATCAATGTTTGTCTCGTTTGTTAATCTCTCCTTCTGACTAGTTATCAACTAAGGGTAGTACTTCATTGTCATTGAAGATGCCATCTAGGCAAACAGCATACTGCAGTCATTTAATTTCTTACCCCGATCGATGATAAACAGTTATTGCTAAACACAAATCTACAAGTTCGAATCACACATATACAAGGTGGATAAGTTGACGGGAAAAAAGAGTGAGACATTGTCTTACTTCCCATCATCAATAAGCCGCCCTCCCGCCTCCTTCATCGTCTCCACCACATTGAACATCACAGAATCATGTTCTCGTCAGCAGAACTTAGAAAGATGTTTACCAGTCATTGCTCACTCGGCTCAGTACTGTAAATGTAGTGTTAGTATCTAATCTGATCTTGCGGTGGTCCGCTCATTTGCTTCATATCTCTCAAGTCGAATTTTTGTGTAAGTATATTTCAAGCAATATATACTGTATGGAAGGCTACTACTGAGTATACTACGCATTAGGTCACATTATTTGGCTTTTGTAATCTTGGTATCCTACTACTAATTCCCATACCGATAGCAGTATGATATGGGGCAGTACTGCCTCACCTGATCCGACCCTTCAACGAGAATATATATTATTAGCATTGTCTCCCACCGCATATACTAGGTCTACTTGAGTCTTGAATACGTGCTCAATATTGTGGCATAGCGAAGAGCTTATTTGTAGACTATCGAAGAGGTATCTCGTTCAATCTTCTCTATTTGTCTCTGCCCCTGCCATATATTCTGCAAAAATTCACAGCGTTGCTTCAACCTCATCCACAATGGTCACCTTAATGCTCCCGTTTCTGGTATCCGCACACAGATTCAATGCATCCACGGCCTTCTCTAGGGGAAAAACGTGCGACACCAATTTCTTCAGGTCCAGTACGCCCCCACTGAGACACGCTATTGCAGGCGGCCAGGTATCGCGGTATCGGTTGATGAACCGCAAATCAATCTGTCTTGGTTAGTGGTCTTACTTTCAAGGCCTAACACGAGAAAGGCTTACCTCTGCCAGGGAAATATGCATAAATGGCAGGTTATTCATTACTGCCTTTCCCACGCCAATAACGACCACCGTACCACCCCGACGAGCAGTAAATGTTGCGGTACACACACTGTTCTCAACACCAGTACACTCTAATACAGTTTCTGGGGCGTTGTACTCGTCCGGACCAAAAATTGCTCGGATCGCCTTAGCGTTGCCTTCCGCATCTAATGCTGGATTAACCTGGTATGTGTTGCACCAAGGCGCAAATTCCTTGGCAAAGGCGAGTCGCTTTGGCTCAATATCTGTGATGACAATGGGATGGGCCCCTGATGCCCGAGCAGCTGCGAGGGCGATCAGTCCAATAGGCCCGGCACCGCATACGACTACACCACGACCTAAATGAAGACGCGCGACCTGAATTCCGCGCATGACGACCGAAAGTGGCTCGAGGAGGGCTCCTTCAAGATAGGATATGTTGTCCGGAAGCCTGTAAAGTCTTTAGCATAACTAGCTGAATCAAGAGGAACCAAAACGCACTTATGTAACCATTTGGCCGGGTGGACCTTGTAACGTTGGATGGTACCCGCATAAGGATATACTCCCGCAAATTGGACGTCCTCGCAAAGGTTGTAGCGACCGTCATCACAGAGGAAGCACTGTTCGCAAGGAACCCCAGGTTCGACGGCAACTCTGTCACCTGTGCTTCCCGATAAGTTATCCATTGCAGACATGATGCACAGCGTGACTAACCAGGCTGGAGATGGGTCACTCCATCTCCACACTTTAGCACCACCCCCGCTGCTTCATGACCAATTATGCAATCTCCTTCAAAGACCAGCTCTCCAATGCGACCGGTTTTCCAGAAATGAATATCAGACCTGAGCACGTTAGCGAATAGTGTACACATGTAAATATAGCCGATATTCTTACATACCCACAGACGCCAGTGGCTTTGATTTGCAGTAGGACCTCACCTCGCTGTGGCGCATACACCGGGGCGGGGACAAATTTGAGATTGTGATCTGCTGTGATCTGGAGAGAGGGATTAGGGAATGGAGGCGACAATTGCGCCTGCTCCGTCGGCGATGACTTTGAGGTAGACGTTGGAGCGGGGCTCGATAGAAGGACAGAAGGGGCCATGATGTTGGGTGGTGTATGATCTGAACATTGCAGTTAGAGAAGACGCCTGGGGTGCGTCTGGTTTAAGCTGAAAACATCTTGGGCGTCCCCAAGTTAGTTGGGAGTGACACAATTGCTGAACTCGAGCAATAGGATGCAGCGGAGATAAGCTACCTTTGCCTGGGCATCATGGAGATGGCAACTGGAGGCACGGATGACCCAGCGTGGATCCAGTCCAGGTCATATCTTCCCCGCATGGAATTTCTGGGGTCGGGTCCAGTACTTACCCTTTTGGGTATCCCACATCCGCCTTCCCCGATCTGGTGGTTGGCGCCTCCGATTACCCGATTGGGAAATGGGCTTAATGCTGCCGGATGAGGTTATTCGGATCCAGAGGTTCTTCTTGCTCAGTCCACCTTCACTCTGCAGAACTGGGCTTGTTCTGTTCCCACCTTTTCTCTGCTCTAGGCACCGTACCAGTTATAAATTTGACCCATGTCCCCTCTTGCCCCGCGTCATGTATCGCCCTCAGTATCATTTCTGCAACTATGGCTGTTGGTCCTATCCCACAAAGTAACGGCGCATCAGCCTTGCCGCTGGTGCGCCAGCTGTCTAAAGATCACGACCATGTCTTGAAATCATTCCGTCTTCTAATCTCTGACCTGTGTCAGCAGTTCGGCGGAGGCCACCCGGGGTATGAGTCCACCGATAATGAGCCCAGCAGAACAAAGGGTGTTGACTGACTCGACCAGTGGAGCTATTGGCATGGCGGCCATAGGAGTCGCCCTCTGGCGATATGTTATGCGATATGCGCCACACACCCCAGACTACTTCAACCGCGATCGCTTCATCCTCTCCAACGGCCATACCTGCCTCTTCCAGTACGCCTTTTTACATCTCACTGGCTACAAAGCCATGACTTTCGAGCAGCTCAAGTCCTATCACTCCGACCGGGTCGACGCATTATGTCCGGGCCACCCGGAAATCGAACACGAGGGCATCGAAGTCACCACAGGCCCCTTAGGTCAAGGCATCGCCAATGCTGTTGGTCTTGCCATGGCCACGAAGAATCTGGCGGCCAATTTCAACCGTCCAGGGTATGATGTCGTATCCAACCACACCTGGTGCATGATAGGAGATGCATGTCTGCAAGAAGGAGTCGGACTCGAGGCAATCTCCTTCGCGGGCCATCTCAAACTCAACAATCTGACCGTCATCTACGATAACAACCAGATAACCTGCGATGGTTCAGTCGATCTGACCAACACAGAGGATATCAACGCTAAGATGCGTGCCTGTGGCTGGAACGTCATTGATGTGGAAGACGGTTGCTATGATATCGAGGGAATTGTCCAAGCCTTGGAGGAGGCTCGCGTCTCCCCAGAAAAGCCTACTTTCATTAACGTCCGGACCGTTATTGGTCTAGGCAGTAAGGTGGAAGGCATGGCTGCTGCTCATGGTGCTGCATTTGGTGCTCCAGACGTAGCAGAGATGAAGAGGAAGTATGGCTTTAACCCTGAGGAGCACTTTGTCATCAGTGATACAGTCCGAGAGTTCTTCCAGGAGCTCCCTGCTCGAGGCGAAGCTCTTGTTCAGCAGTGGAACTCGTTAGTGAAGCAATATAGCGCAGAAAATCCTGAGCTTGGGGAAGAGTTCCAGAGACGCATTCGCGGAGAGCTGCCTTCCAACTGGAAGGACCTTATACCTTCCAGCTTCCCTGACAAGCCAACGGCTACGAGAGCCTCATCCGGCCTAGTATTCAACCCTCTGGCTAAAGATATTAAATCTTTCATGGTCGGAACGGCTGACCTGAGCCCGTCCGTGAACATGATCTGGCCAGGCAAGGTTGATTTCCAGCACGTAAGTTCATTCTTGCTGTTTCTCTTAGACCATTGTGGCACCATACTTACTAGATACAGCCTGATCTACGTACCACTTGCAATATCAACGGTAACTATTCCGGCCGATATATCCACTTCGGAGTGCGTGAACATGCCATGTGTGCCATCTCGAACGGGCTGGCAGCGTTCGCTCCAAATACATTCATCCCCATCACTTCTTCCTTTTTCATGTTCTATCTTTATGCTGCTCCTGCCGTGCGCATGGGAGCTCTTCAGCACCTTCAGGTTATCCACGCTGCTACTCACGACTCCATTGGCATGGGAGAAGATGGTCCGACACACCAGCCGATAGAGCTGGCAGCGCTCTACCGTGCTATGCCAAACCTGCTGTATATTCGACCGGGAGATAGTGAGGAGACGGCAGGAGCCTGGCTTGCAGCCCTGGAGGCCAAGAAGTCATCCAGCATTATCTCCACCTCCCGTCACGCTCTGCCCCAGTTGAAGCAAACACGCCGGGAGGGAGTGGCTCATGGCGCGTACGTGCTGGAAGAGGCTGATGCTGCCGCAGTGACGCTCATTGGTGTCGGCGCAGAGCTCTCATTTGCGCTTGATGTAGCCCAGCAGCTGAAGGAGACCAAAGGGATTGCGGTACGTGTCGTCAGTTTCCCATGCCAGCGATTGTTCGAGCAGCAGGCCCTCGAGTACAAGCGCACGGTTCTGCGACGCCATCAAGGTATCCCGGCTGTGGTAATCGAGCCATATGCACCGAATGGCTGGGAGCGGTATGCCGATGCAGGCATCAACATCCGCCGATTCGGCCACAGTTTGCCGGGCAAGGCTGCATACAAGTTCTTCGGCTACGAGACCGGAGTGATGGCGGCCAAGGTGGGCGATTATCTGGACCGACTAGAGAAGGGAGAGTGGCAGCGAGGAGAATTTGTGGATCTGTAGGCCAGTGATCCTTTCGATATCAGTACCATTCAATGAATAAACTTAGACTCAAGACAACTTACCAATGGATTAGTCCAACTCAGTAGCAATTGGAAGATGACCGGAGAAGAGATGTGGGGATTGACTAGAGGGAAGATCCACCCAGACGCGCCGGACTCGTATTGGGGAATCGGAAGCGCCATCCCTCGCTGCTTTAGTCTCCCCACTTTCCCTCCCTTCTTCCCAACTCAATTCCCCTCCACGTTGTTATCTAGAGACACTTCGAATCTTATCTCTAGGAGATCCAGACTATTGCTAACCCTGGAATCTTCTCACGATGGCTTCCGCTGATGCCGCAATAAATGAATCATCACTCACCGCTCCCAAGACGCCAAATAGTTTTTTTTTTCTTCGCGTATCACACGCACTCAAACTCGGTCCCTACGATGCTTACACACTACACCAGTTACCTCGGAACATAAGTGTTCAAGCAAGAGTATATTGCCAGGCCCGGACGGGATAGGGCTTTCCCATCAACGAGACCTGACTTGCAGGCTAAATAGCTAAACATGCTAAGACATGAAAGAACAGGACAGGACAGGATAAGACACAACACCACACAAGAAGTTAGAAGTCTGCTTCACAAATAAGAAAAACATGAGACAAAAAAAAAAAAAAAAAAAAAAAAAAAAAAAAAAAAAAAAAAAAAAAAAAAAAAAAAACACCAACAACTTGAAGATAACCAAGATGGAGATAAAGAAACGAGCAAACTTCAAGGGTATATCAAGCTCTCAGGCCAAATAACGCTATTATAGCATGAAATCATCTAGGCGCTGCTCCTCGGCGATTACATGGACCCCCCATGAGGGAGATAGGCACGGAGCCGAGCGGGTGCCGCTGGCATGTGCGTTATAGAACCTCTCATTCGATTCATCAGCTGGCTCGCTGCTTTCGAGGATCGCCCCAGTATTGTCTTCCAGGAGCTCAACTGTACTCTCGCCGTTCATATCATTTGCGTGCTCGATGCTGCCCTCGCCATTCATTGCGGGCTCACCGCTGGCATCGCCGTTCATCTCATGTGCGGGCTCGGCGTGACCTTCACCGTTCATTTCATGGGTCGGCTCAAATATGCCCTCAATGGCTTCTTGTGTGGGCCTTTGGACTGGTAGAGGGGCTTCGGAGGAATGTGTGCCAATGAGTGTACTCCTTCTTCCTTTCGCCATCTCGAACCGGAGAGTGCGTTGCTGCAGCTTGAATACCGATTCTTGACCATTTCTCATTTGAGAGACTCGCTTCGCAACCTCCGGTGTCTACATTTCATTAGCTTTTGCTATTGAGGTTTGAAGCATGACGCGTACCTCGAATTGCACAAAGGCGGTTCTCAAACCAGAATTAGGGTTCGTCTTCACTATGACATAACAACGTCCGTATTCGCCGAGCATCCTCTTGAGCTCGAACACCGTCTGAGGTGGATCAAGAGCACTTGGTAGACTGCAGGGTGTTAGTTTTCGTCCCATCCACTATTGAGCTTGGCAGGGGGTTTATCTCTTACTTTCCGATAAAAAGGCGAGCTTCACGAGGAAGGAGATCTTGAGCGTTGTCGTCTGTGACTTTTAATCCTCCGGCGATAAGAATATCATTTTCGATGCCAGAACCATTTTGAAGTGGTGACGGTTCTCTGGACTGTGTGTCAGGCTGTTCCGGTTCACGACGACCGTTGGCAACGCTGCCTTGACTTGATCCCGCCTGGGCTTGATCTGAACCGTCTGGGGACGGCTGCGGAGGGCTATTGGTCACGGTGGGAACCAACTGCCGGAGCATCTGGTACAAGGGGGTGTCTCGACCCACTTGGAATCCTGGATGGGTCATGCGTGCAAATTGGCGGTTAGGAGGCATAGACGGGAGGTTACTCGCAGGAATAATATACTGTTGGTCCTGGACGCCATCAGAGATCTGGGAGATGAAAGGATCCCCGTCAGGTATGTCGTTTTCCGTCATGATCACATTCCATTGAGGTTCCAAAGGAACCTCAGGCAAATAAAAGCTCATCTCAGGGTCACAGCAAGAAGGTAAATCGATATACATCCAATGAGGCGGTTGCCCTTCAACTTGCATACGAGCCCCGGTGAAGAAAACCCATTTCATGCCATTATGAAGGAAAGCAGGGCCAAAAGGCTTCTTCCTAGGATATGGAATAGCATTGGGGTACTGCTGACAGAAATTCATGTTGACTGCTGGAGTGGAAGGATGCATTTCTCGTAGCAAAAGCCGTGAGTAACTTATCCCCTTAGCGATCAAGCAAAGCCAAGTTAAGCAACAGACGCTAACAAGCACGAATCAGATACTATCCTCCTAAAGGAGAACTTTATCAAAAGCGTACTAGTACGACGAGCAGTGTGAAAAGATGAGATTGATAAGAGAAGCTGTGGTTACTCTGTCAAATGATAGCGAGCAGCCAAAGCGTGAGTGTTGTGAGGATGGGAGAAGTATGAGAGGCAAACAACAAGCAAGCCGGCAAGGCTCACATACTAACCGTCGAACTCTATGCCTTCACGATGAGGTATGAGAAACGAGCGTCGCAGTCATGACTCCAACTATGACCACCACAAGGCTTCAAATACGGTCCGGACTATGTTCCTCTTATTCCTCGAGGAATCTAGTTACTCCTCGCCGCTTTTAGGCTTGAAATGACATCTATGAGATGAAGGGCGTGGGACATCAGAAAAGGGCAGTGCATTCGCTGCAGAGCCAGCTGTGGCCATTCAAAGACGCCGATATTTGTCAGGAGAACTACGAGTATATGTGCGAATAGTTTGGTCCGTCCTTTTGTCCGGGGAAAATCGGGATTTTGTTGGGGAAAGTCGGGCATGGTTCCTTGGGTGCGAGGACGAACTATACAACTATACGGCTCTAGGCTTGGTATTCTGTCCGATACAATACATTCGAAGCGGAAAACTCAGCCTGTAGGTATCGAGTGAGCGTCATTACATGGTTTGTGAGGCTCTGGCCTTGATATGGAGGTCTGTTGTTGAGCTGAGGCCTGAGGGACGGTCGAGATGGCCGAAAGCAGAAATTTCGACATATGAACTGAGGGGGCTGTGTGGGGATAAGTATAGAATGGCTGCTTCGAGATATTACTTATGGTATTGTAGTTATACCGGGTTGTATTAACTATACAAAACGAGGAAAGAAGCAGGTCATGATTATGTCGTCACCAAGGCAGGAAGTATGCAAACAGGCAAGGTATATACTCAGACAGTGAACGAGGGGGTATCGAATAAGCTTGTCTCCCAGGAACATCATCATGAAACAAATCGTCACTTCACTTTGCAGGCATCCCCATCAACTCTCCCAGCTCGTCGCTGGTGAGTGTGCTCCGGCGTCGATCCCGGTGGCCTTTGCTGGATCCCTTGAGAGCCCGCCCACGCTTACGACTCTCGCTTTCTTTCCGAGCCTGTTCTGCCTCCCGGGCCTCGCTTTCAGCTGCTGCTAGCTTCTGGGGCACGCTCAGGCGAGCTTGGTTGCTTGTTGCTTGGATAGCAGCTGCCCGGCGAGATTCTTTGGGCTGGGGACTTTGAGCGCTGCTTCCCTGGCGGGAGAGCCCCTTCGATTCAGCCTTCCTTCTTGATGGTCTACGTGTTACCGCTTCCGAACGGTGTGCTTTTACTTGTAGCGTCTCATCGTCCGCGCTCGGTTCGCAAGGCGAGTCTTGTAGACCCGCAGTAAATGAGACCTTCCGTGGCGAGCGTCCAGTCATGATGTTGTCACTCCTTTCTTTCAAAGCTTTACTGGCTCTCCTGGATCTCGTTTCTCGCGTCGACTGGCGAGTTCTCCTGGGTGACTCTGCAGGCCGGCTAGCCTCGGTGGTAACCTTTGCAGCGGTTTGTTTCTCTTCCTCCTCTTCTGCCTCTTGGTCTTCGAATATGGGTGACTGAATGGTCGTGTCTCGCCCCACGTCTTGAGATAGTGCTTGCGTAATGTCTAGGCGTAGGTCTAAGCCTTGTCGGAGCTCTTCCGCTTGAATCGAATGGCCTCCATCCGCGATCCGTTTATGCCAGCCATCCATCATTGTAACGGCCTGGCTCCACCGACTTTCCATTTTCTCCCAGCCTTCGCGAAGTCGTTTAATTTCTTCGTCCCGCATTTCTACTTCCTCTAGAGGTACGAACGATGGGTTCGTGAGTAGTGTTCGTAGATGCTCGAGGACATGGTCCATTTGTGCTGATAGCTCGTCACAAGAGGTAGGTAGTGCCGTTACCGAGCCTTGCAGGGACCGTCCAGCCCCGATGCTTGCCATCCCAGTCGCGGACTTATCTTCGTCTTCGACCTGTGATAATCCCTGGAGATCCTTCAGAGTTTCGACTGTGTTTCGTGCCAATGATATCAGCGTATCATTTTCGTCGCTGAGGTTTTGACATAGTTCAGTAAGGAAGTCGTTCGTTTCCTGCTTGAGGCTGTATCCAGGATCGTTGATACCCTCGCCACCGGCCGCCAGTCTAGATCGGGACGATTGACTGGCTGCTGGGTTGATATTGATGGTGGTCATCGACAGCCCTTCCCGCTTTCCGCGCTGGCGTTCAGCCAAGTGCGATTTCAGTTTCTGCATTTCCAGGTCGCGTTTGCGGATGTCGTTGGCGCATTGAGCTCGAACTTGCTGAATGGTCGTCTTCATACGCTGCACTTGCTCTTTGAGTCCTCGGATGGTCGAATCGGCACTAGAAGCGTTCGCCTTCAATGCTCGTTCCTGCGCTTCTGCGAGAGCCAGGGAACGGGTTAGCTCGGAGGCTTTTGTCTTGACTTTCTCCTACAGCCAAGTCGTTAGCCTTCTTTGCGGTCGCAAAGTATACATTTGATGCCTATCGTACCAACTCTGCTGTTTTTTGCGATTCCTCCGCGCGTAGGGTGCGAATTGTGGTTGCTAGATTCTCTCGGTGTTCGGCTTCACGCTGTTGGGGCTGTTAGCCAGTGCGACAATCTTCCTGGACATTGCGGCTCCGTACATCTCTGCGCAGAACCAAATCGTTGACCAAATTGATGATCCTCCCCATTGTGGCCGCTGTGCCTCCCTCCTCATCTTCAGGGTTGGCGAAATCAATGGGTTGGCCGCTCTTCAGCAGCCCCCTGGCCAGCAAGACATTATTAATGTAAGTAGATGCTGCCTGCAGATTCTGTGGCTCCATGGCTTGCCTGCAAGCTCTGGTGGCAGCGACCTCTCTGAAGTGAGAGGAGTTGCCGATTGATGTCGAGGGGTGTTGGTTGCGATAATGCGTCGGGGACCGCCAGACTGTTATTATTATTTTTCGACAGCCGCGGGATTCCTAAAGGGGAAGAACATAAACAGCAGGCGCACTCCGGTGACCGCCACGCCCCACTTCCGCTGTATGCTTATGTCATGCACCTGCCCACATCTGATCTGTAAAGGGAAGTAAATCACTTTTCTTATCGCACGCGTCGCTCGCGCGTCCTCTTGCCTCTTCTCAGCTTCGTCCTCCCAATTGGAATCATGGCGCGCGTAGTCCGTGGCGAGGGAGACTCTCTACAACGGAGAGGACAACTGCTCTTCAGGCAGGGCAACTACTCAGATGCTCTGGCGGCGTTTACAGAGGTGCGTTCGCGCGGTCCACCGCGTCCGATAAGGAAAACGCTACTAAGACAATTGGCCCACAGGCTCTCTCTTGTAAAGGCGCCGATGTGATGAGCATCCTGGACAACCGGGCCGCAACGTACATCAAGCTCACTCAGTATGATCGCGCTCTCAATGATTCGCGGCAGATGATCCGCAGAGATACCAAAGATGGACGGGTAGCTTGCAGCCTGTGCGATGGTCGAATGCATTCACTGTAGGCTAATTCAGTGTTAGGGCGTTTTGCGATATGGTCAGACCTTGCTTCTGACTGGGGATCGTGCAAAGGCTCTCAAAGCTTATGGCTATGGCTTGAAGACTCTGCCTGAAGATCATCCCCGTCGTAAGGTAAGTGGGTTTGAGCTGAACTTGCAGCGAAATGCATTCTTGGAGGCTGACCGGCTCAGATGATACTTCAAATGTATTGCAAGGTGAAAGAGAAAGCATCAGTGAAACGACTAGATCCCTTTGATACTCTACCTCTGGAGTTGGCCATGATGGTGCTGCAGTATTTCAATATTAGGGAGCTGGCGTAAGTGAGCCTGTACAAAGAGGTCCTATAAACAAGCTGACAGATATGCACCTAGGGTTCTCCTGCGAGTTTCGAAGGGATGGCAGCGAATGCTCTCACAACCAGATCTTTGGATGCAATTGGATTTCACCGAGGCCCGACGCAAGGTCCATTGGCGCTCGTTTCGGGCATTTGTCCAACGATCGCGTGCCTTGCTAACTCATGCTGTCATGACCAATATATCCAGCCCCTTTCAAGAAAGAGTGCTAGAAGCCTTAAGTAGATGTCCAAAATTGGAACACTTGGAGATCCGGGACCCTATCACACAACCTAACGGGCTTTGCGACATGTTCAGGAGCTCAACACAGTTGAAATCACTGATTATCGCGAAACAGACACCGGTGGCTCAAGAAAATATCGCGAAGTTTCTATCAAGCTTATCCCAGCTCGAACGATTAGAGATTCATAATGCCCAGCCGTCACCCGAATCCAAAGTACATTGGCCTTCACATCTGCCGAATTTGAAGAGTATTACCTTGCTCACGGAAGCGTCAATCCCGCCACCAGGTCGTGTTCCTGCTTTATACATTCCTCACGCTACTGTAAGTTGGCTGGTCTTATGAGCTTTAGCTGGGTGCGTGCTGCTTCTGGTACTGACAGCTATTTCAGGAGTCAATGTCTTGCTCAATGCCCAATCTTGAAGAACTACGGCTTGACTCGTATCCTAAAGTCTGGGCGCCATACTATCTTTCATTTGACCCTGTTCAATACCCCAGGCTACGTAGACTAGATCTGAAAGGTGTATTCATAGGCACTTTCAGCTTACCGCCGAGCCTCGAATACCTTTCCATTCATGCAGGTGCCGCTCCACCTGGGGAGGAATTCCCCTTTCCTCCCGAGCAACCCTTGCACCTTCCAAACCTCCATACTCTTATGCTTCGCGACCTAATTTGGGTCACCTACCGCACGCTCCATCGGTTCATAGTCGACTCCAAGGCTGTATTACGGAACCTTGTAGTCGACCGCTGTCCACAACTCGACTCTGAGAAGCTCAGTCTTGTTCTGGCGGAGAATTCGGTCAACTTGACCGAGCTCGGAGTTCCTCAGCTTCCGGGCATCAATGACTCTACTGTGAAGACCTTGGTAGAAGGTTTATCAAACCTCACTGCTCTAGATGTTTCCAACACCGATGTCACAGGCCGTCTGCTCAAAATGCTTGCTGACGCACGTTCCTCGGATGGCCACTTTCCACGTGTTGAGTATGTATACACCAAAAATTGTGACAATATCCCATACGAGGCAATAACCTACGCTCGATCACATGGTGTCAGTGTCATTCGGTGATTAGATGCATCAGTACAAACGCCCCTGAAGCATGCTGGCATGCATGGGTATGCGTTTGTTATTTGCAGTCGGCGCCATATCGCATGTTGGGCTATAGTTCTACCATGTTTGCATACGTGGTATGGCTGTTCTGCGCCCCCGAAGTCCAACCTGGTCTAGAATACGCGCCAATGTTTCACAAACGATAAGTCTTTCTGCAGAATCTATGCGACATTGCTCCTCATAAAAATACAATTTGGCTGGGGCGTTCTTGATAACGCGGGTCGATTCACAACATGACCAGGTCATGATACAAGAGGGACATTTGCACAACCCTCCGTTGCTCCCCATTATTCAGCACACTGCTGTGAGGGAGATGGCCGCAGGCACGCCACAAGTTTGCAGTGGAAACAGACAGTTCAAATTAAATTATACGTCTTTTCAGGGCTCTAACCAGTCCTGTCAGGTCTACATTTCGGGCAATGTCATCAATTTCCGCTTAGGATTATTAGCTCCCAGAACTGAAAGAGGTTCGGATAATGTACACTGTATCTTTGGATATCTATTTCTAAGCTCTAATATAATAATAACATTATGAATACCCTTCGCCTACCCGAGGCGAGTGATACGGTCTTTGGATAGCGATCGCCGCTGGGGACGGACTTCAAGTCCGCTCCTCTTATCCTCGACAACATCATATATAACGTCTGCCACCTCCACGATTAGCGGGCGATATTGTTTCAAATATTCTTTCATCTATTGCTGATCTATACTACCTATACTTTGTCAAATAAATCATCTTCAGACCGTGCAATGGCCACCATCTCCGTAATGCGGGCCTCCAACTCCCGAATCACATCAGAGACGGCGCCTCACACAGCAGTCTTCACTGGAGCCACAGATGGCATTGGAAAGGCAACACTTACTCGCCTAATTTCTACGAATCTGCCAGTCCGGGTGTATGTCATTGGCAGGAACGGCAAGAAGCATCAATCGTTTCTAGATGAGCTTCGACAATCCAACAGACAGGCACAGATAACCTGGTTGGAAGGTCAACTGTCTCTTCTAGCGGATACTAAAAGTCTGTGCGATGAGATTAGGAGACGCGAGACGAGTCTTGACTGCTTGTACCTGAGCGCTGGCTTTATCTCTTCTGGGGAGCGCATTGGTACGTATCTTCTAGTCACCATTAGCCAAGGACATACGCCCATCCGGCATCAACAGCACCAGCTGACAAGATACGACAATAGAAACATCCGAAGGGAAAAGCCTCTCACTAGCACTCACCTACTACAGCCGAATATTGCTGATGACTGAGCTTCTCCCCTTACTCAACTCATCTCCCAATAGCCCACGCATCGTGAGTGTCCTCAACGCGGGTTATGAATCATCTTCCATCTACCTCGACGGCATCGATCTCGAGAAACCAGGCCACTTCGGTCTGGGCCCTCTCACCAAATCGATGTCCACCTACACTACATTGTCAATGTCCAGACTGGCTCACGAAAACCCTCATGTGGTATTCATCCATCATTATCCTGGTGGAGTAAGTACAGATGCCTTTAAGAAGGCCTGGGGTGGAAAGTGGTATTGGCCTCTGTTCAAAGCTGCGTTGTCTGCGTTCGGAACGTCTCCTGAGGATGCTGCGGAGAAGGTGTTGTATTTGATCACTAGTGCTAAATATGGTGGCAGGGGGGTTCCGCTTGGCGAGGGACAGAAGGCTGGGATGACTATGACGAAGTCTGTTCAGAGTGGTGATCTGTTCGCCATTGACGATAAGATGAAGGAGCTGTTCCAGGGGAAGGTGATATTGGAGTTGCAAGCCATGAATGCGGGTGACATTATTTGGCGCAGGACGGTGGAGACACTTGCGCCGTACTCTTCGTGATGGCAAGGAGCGAGGGGGTAATATCTTATTTTCTAGATCGGTTACTACGAATCGGTACTATATAAACTGAAATTTAATGGTTAGCAGGTCATCTGGATAGATGATGGCACTCAATGTAAGCCGAACGGACTTCGGCCAGTCAAAGTCCGGCTTATTAGAACGAAGTCCGGTTCAGCCGACGGCCAAAGACCGTTTCCGTCTCAACCACTGCACACTTACACATATGATTTCCAATTCAAATAGTTCACTGCTATCATGGAGAGGAGAGGTCCAACTCCAGGCTCTGGCTCATATGGCAAGGCTTGCAGACAATGTTCGAAGGCCACATGTCGGTGCGTAGCTCGACCGGATGGTGCCGGCTGCGAAAGGTAAACGTCCAAGTATGAGCATTGACTTAATTGATCTAATCGCCGCTCAGATGCCTGCGTCTCAAGAAACAATGTCAACCATCAGAACCAACTCGTAGGAAGCCTCATCGGAATACCGAGTCCGGCGCGCAGATAGCGAAGCTTGAGGGGAGGATTGATAGTCTCACGGCAATGCTTCAGTCTGTGGCGCATGCTACTGGAGTATCTAGCAACCTGCAGACTAGTTCAAATGCTAGTACAAGTGAAGAAATCAGCAACTTAGCTATTACTGGCACTACCACCGACAGCGTATTTGTGCCACCACTATCGACCACCGCGCCGTCACAGTCAACGACGACTCCGTCTCCTAGCAATGGCTCGAGCCAGCCATCCGTACCACTGCCTCCTCTATATGAGTTGGACCTAGACCAAGCAGCCTGGTATCTCGATCGCTTTACGACGAACATGCTACCGTGCTTCCCTTTCATCAGCCTGCCGCCTAATACCACTTCGCAGCAGCTGCATCAAGACCGGCCATTTCTCCTCGAGGCCATCATTGCGGTAGCTACGCCCTCAACGCAAGAGAAGCTGGCTCGCGCAGATAGATTGAAGTCTCGCTTAATCAAGTCAGCTATGCTCGAGAACCAGTCTGGTATTGACATGTTGCTGAGCATCCTAACTTACGTCGCCTGGAGTACGGATCCGTTTGTTAAGCGTGCAAGTAACCTGTCTCGCATGATCATGCTGGCTATGTCCATGGTCTACGATCTCCAACTGGACAAGAAACCACCACCGCCGCCAGAGGTACCCATAATAGCGAAGATGGCACCCGGGCTGAATAATCCGGAGCAAAGTGCAACTGACAATTCTCTACAAGGGATCCTAGAGCAGCATCGAGCGGTCCTATCTTGCTTTGTCCTCAGCTCGATGTAAGTTAATCCTCATACTTTACTTGTAACTCGAGAGTGTCTATTCTGACATAATTATTCCAGCATCTCATCCACCTTCAGACGCACAGTCTCCCTATCATGGACCTCTCAAATGGAACAAGCCCTAAATCTAATCGAGACAAACAAAGAACACCCATCCGACGAGTACTTCACAACCCAAATCCGCCTACAAATCCTCGCCCAAAAAGCCCTATCCCTCCGTGACCCAGACGAGACAGATCCCTCTACCACCTCAACCACAACACCCCCAGCAACAACCATGTACCTCAAAATACTACACAACCAACTGAAAGACATCCAATCCTCAATCCCACCCCATCTCCCCCACCGCGGTAAGCCACCCACCAACCCATCCCTCCCTCCTCCCTCATTCCCAACTACCTACTAACCACCGACCCAACCCCAATATAGACCTCCTCCTCCTCCAAACACACTACACTTCCCTCCTCCTACACGAAACCCCCCGCCTCACGAGCTCCAGCACCCCTCTCCTTTCCCCAACAACCACCATTACAACCACAACCACAGCCCCCTCCCCCATAACCACCCTCATCCACTCCCTCCAAGCAATCAAATCCTGGCTCTCAACCTTCCAAACCCTCCCGGCACCAACCATCACCGGATTCCCCTTCTTCATGTGGTTCCAGCTCGTCCGATGCATCGTGCTCCTGAAACATCTCTCCACGTTCGAAGACCCAGCATGGGACCGCGACGCCGTGCGGCAGGAGGTGGATATGCTGGAGTTGCTGGAGTGGATGGGGGAGAAGGCGGAGATGGCTAGTGTTGAGGCTGGAGAGATATCAGATGATGATTTGTTTCGCAGGGTGGGGAGGATGCTCAGGTTGGCGAGGGAGTGGGTGGTTAGGAAGGTGAGGGGGGAGGTAGATGGATGGGTCCCTGGGGATGGGAGTACTAATGGGGATGGGGCGGTGTCTGGCTTGTCTGGGGGGAGTACTGAGGGTAGTAGTGGTGGTGGTGGTGGTGGTGATAGTAGTGGTGTAATGGGCATGGATATGGATATGACGGATATGGCTTGGATGCATGCGTTGGAATCGGGAGATGGAGGTTGGCTTGAGGAGGTGCTGGGGTGGTCGCCTCTAAATTTCTAGATCTGTGTCTGCTATAGATTTTGAAAGATACGGTATGGTAGTCTTTGCATTTATTTTGACACGAAGACGACCTCTTGATTGCTCACCATCTACTCTAGCTCTATCATCTATGATTGACTATACATCCCACCACCCCTCCAAATAAGACTTCAGATCAATAGTATCATGGCGTTTCAAATGCGGCGTCAGATCCGCATCTGGAAGCGTCTCTCTCGTCGTCCATCCGTTCCCCAAAAATGCGAATCTATTCCCACTGGGATTGGTATACGAATAGTCCCAATCTTCCCATCTAGGATCTCGTCTCAAGTAATTCAACGCTGCCGCACTACCAGGGAACTGACCATGGACTTTGCCACCAGGCCGACCGCCATTATACCATGAGCTACAGTTCTTCTGACCAGGGGTAGAGTCGTCATTAGCTGTCCAAACCGTGCGCGGGTAGAATTTGTCGCAGTATTCGACAAAGTCATCGGCTGCTTGCTTGGATGGCTCCATAGATTTGATACCTTGGCTGCGGATCTTTCGCAGGAGCTTGGCTATGTAGGTGACTTGATTCTCCAGGGCATTGGGCACGCTGCCAGAGGGGCCGGTGGAGTGGGGACCGCCAATCCAAAGTAGATTGGGGAAGCCTGGGGTGGCTACTCCGAGGTAGTTGTAGGGGAAGCCGTAGAGACCGTCATGTTTCCACGCCTGTTTGAGATCGATCCCGTTGGAAACGATGGAGAAGGGTGGGGCGTGGTCGACGTTGGCCCCGGTGGAGCAGATGACAATGTCGACGGGCCGTTCGATGCCATCTGTGGTGACGATACCTGTTGAGGTGAATCGCTGAATCGGGGTTTGAATGTAGCTGACGTTGTCTTTGGTCAAGGCTTCGAGATAGCCTGGGCCGGGAGTGGGACGGCGACAGTTGGGTGGAAAGTCTGGGATGAGCTTGTCAATGAGTTCGGGCTGGTCGCCGACCCTTGACTTCATCAGCTCGGTCCATTTCTCGCGTAGACCGCGGTTCTCCGGGGAGTCCTTGAAGATGGCACCGAAGCGAGAGAAGTATCCTGCTTCGACGCTCTTGCGGTATGCTAGATAAGTATCGGGGTCGCGAAAGGACTCGAGTTGCTCGGGTGAGAATAAGTTTGCTTCGAGTCGACGCACACCAGATGTGCCGAAGGAGTCAGCTATCCAGGTCCTGTTGCGAGCATAATGGTCTACGTGTTGAGCAATTGGCTGGATCGAGGGCAGGACCTGCAATCCAGACGCCCCATTGCCGATCAACGCGATGCGCTTGCCGTTCAGGTCGACATTGTGATTCCAGTGCGACGAATGGAAAAGCACACCAGTGTACTCATCCCTGCCTGGGTAGTCGGGCAGCTTCCACTCATTGAAGTGGCCAATAGCATTGATCAGCACGTCGAGGTCTTCATCATAAATCTTTTATTAGTTAGCCAGTGCGCATAAGCCGCTAAGTAGGAGCAGTGGCATACTCGATTGTCATCCCCCAAGTCTTGCAAGGTCACCCGCCATTTACCCAGTTCAGGAAGCCACACAGCCTGGTCGACTTTCTGTTGTAGTCGGAGGTATTTGTGCACATCATATTTGCGCGCTAGAGATTCCCAATACTCGCGAATTTCGGCGCCTTGTGCGAACTCTTCGGACCATTGTGTGTTCGGTTCGAATCCGGACTGATAGACATGCGCGGGAATATCGCATCGTACTCCAGGATAAGTATTTTCGAACCTGTTCATCAGCACCAGCCGTCGCACGTAATAAGTAAGCTCCCTTACCAAGTACCTCCCTATGTTCAATGTTAGAAATGCATCATATGTGTCTCGAAACCGTTACTTACCACACCAGCGTTCTTCTCATAGATCCGTAGGTCCAGGCCAGGCAGTTTTGCTGGGAGCAAGACTCCTGCAGTAATCCCTGCCAGACCAGCCCCAATCACACCGACTTTGATCGGACGAATCTCGTCAATTGGATGTTCCTCGATTTCAAAAGCTGGACGAGCTTGGCTGTCTGCCTTCTCTGACAAGGCTAACTCATTGATGAGCGACTTAAGAGACACAGTGGGGAGGTGCTTGGGATCTGTCTCGGTGACAGGTTCGTGAGGTATGAGCTCGGGACCTTCGACTGCTGCCATAGTGAATAAAACTCTTCTGTCCTATGGGCACATATGAGGGTAGCAAATTGGCGAGATGCAAGGATGTCTTTTATCTTAAGATGGCTGCCGATAGGGAGGGGTTGCGAGATCGGCAAAGCACATCACGCCTGATAGAGTGTAACCCCTCTTCGGAACAGCTGCACGCCATCTGCACCTCCTTTGACCTCACAAAGCAGCCCGGAGAAGCCAGTAGCAAGAGTTGAAAAGGTACCGGGATCACACCATTGCGGACTGCAATGATGCGACAAGAGGGGCTTATCTCTGGTTTAGCAGCACCATTAACTTGGCAAAAATATACCATGCCCCAAGATTGTTCCACTGGGAGATGAAGTAGTGATACACTGAGTATGTATCGAAGCTGCAGGCGATTCGATGGTTGCATTGGGCAGATGCAGTTGACGAAAAGGGAAAGATGGACAGGGATATTAGGCCTCAGGCAGCGACCGCGTGTAGCCGCTCATTGGGACTCATCCTACTCTAGCCGATTCCTAGAATCTCATAGCAGTCATTGCCAAGACCAAGTCGCAATCCAATAAATAGCACTATACCAAACCATAGCGACGCGATGCCAGGCTTTCATTAGACGTTGTATCACGTGAACGAGAAGTCACCACTTACCATTTCTGGATGTCATGTGACACAGCCCCATGGACTGGTGGTTGACATCACGTGGGACCATGATACAGTTCAATACAATCCGGCAAAAAGGCGCAAATTAGGTTTCTTAGGTTTATTCTTGTTAACTGGTAATTTCCAACTGGTAAACTATTTTCTCACAACCAGCGCACGTTAAAATGCTGCGTGTGGTTGATTTGGCAGGCAAGCGGGCCTTGATTGACAGGCATCCCCAGCCTTGCTTGGATGCCTCGATGCCTGTAAAACTCGGCATTCACAGCCGACCTCGTGTTCTCCTCGCTTCTCTTTGTTCAACTTCGCCTTGACAACGCCGGACGCTCTTCAGCTATTGTTCTTCGGGATAATCTTAACCCCAATCGTTCCGTTGCTTTTGCTGTTATGATTCTCTTCTCGTGTGGTTGAACACATTCTTCCTGACAACCAACTCTCTCATTCCGGACTGCTGCGCGCCCGGCATCCTAAGGCTATCACTCTTTAAGCAGATATGGCTCCCGTTGGTCTCCTGACTAAACTCAGGACTCTGATCGCAAAGGACTATGGTAAATTTATAAAGTATAAGGGTTTTATATCATTGTCTGACTTATCCCGCAGATGCGCCTGCCATTTCAACACAGACCGCGGCCTTTCTCTCGGTATGCACTCCTGATCATTGGCTCCTATCAACTATTCCCTGCGCTTTTGGTCTTTCTATTGCTCTTCTGGCCAGTATCTGATTCACGTCCTAGGTTTGCCTTACCTTGGTCTATGTGGTTCCTTTCTATGTGAACCCCACGACCCGGCCATCGCCCACCCTGAGTAGAGATGCGCCGTCGGTAATCCGGGCCAGAATCAGAGCAGTGACATTCTCATGCACTATCAGTAGCCTGGTCGTCTTATGGCTAATCGCTGCCAAAGAAAACGCTTCTTTCTCCCGAGCTCTCCACTTCTTGGGATGGTGGCCTGTCGGTCTCGTGGATATTTTCCGCAGCTTGCTGCTCACAGCCATCCTATTCGCCGGTCCACTGTTTGAGCGTGGTATTGCTGAGGGCGAATGGAGAGAGTGGATTCGGGGAGGCAGAGTTACTGCGTCGCTTCGCAGCTGGATTGGATGGAGAAACTATGTAGCAGTAAGTTCATTCATGACGGCAATGTCTGGGTTTGTGATTAACTGAGCGATGCAGGGTCCCATCACCGAGGAGGTCATGTTCCGCTCAGCTATCGTTCCCCTTCATCTCCTTGCTAAGGTTGATCCCGGGCGCATTGTATTTGTGGCTCCTCTCTATTTCGGCATTGCTCACGTACACCATTTCTACGAATTTCGCCTCACTCATCCTGATACATCGGTCGTCGCAGCGTTATTGAGATCAGTCTTTCAGTTCGGCTACACGACGATTTTTGGCTGGTATGCCACCTTTATCTACCTTCGTACTGGGTCTCTTCTGGCAGTTATCCTCGCCCACACTTTCTGCAACTGGTGCGGATTGCCTCGATTGTGGGGAAGAGTAGAGGCGGGCGTACCCATGGGACCGCCCATGGTCAAAGGAAAAGGATCTTCCGACGCGGCATACGGCCAACTCAGTCTAGGCTGGACCATTGCATACTATGTGATCTTGGTCGCGGGGGCTATTGGCTTCTTTCAGGCGCTATGGCCTTTGACAGATTCGCTGAACGCATTAGCCAGCTTTTCTGTTACGGCCAAATGATTATAATGAAGAGAAACCAGCATATAGCGGACGATTGATCTGAAGGATCGCAGCATCGACTTCTTGTCTGTCTTCGGCCAAATGGCCACCTTTTCGGTTCATGGATTTGTCTGCCATTATAGCGACAAGCATTGTTGTGAATAGCTTGACCGCATGCAGCATTGTTATGACCATAGTATTATTAATGTCCAACACCTCAATTTGATCGAAATGAATTATTATGTATGCATCAAGGCATTTTGGACAATTGTTGATCAAAGAAACATAATACATGAAAGTGATGTGTACTACTGTGTTTCATAAGCGAAACTGAGTTCAATGTAATACAGTACTAAGAACTAGTAGTACTTAGCACTAGCTGATTGATTATAAGTGTGGATCGTGCGATAAGCATTACAAACTGGTGTTGATTGCAATCATGATGTCCTAGTCCGGTCATTCTCATCATCTTTATATATTTTGGCCGGCAGATGAGTACCATTACTTTTAGTATCATCCACAGCGCACCATCGATACTATATTTTCTAGTAACTGATTTCATGATCGGCACACTTGCAACGCGCAGGCAGTCTAATTAAATCTGAGCAACATTAAGAGATTACGTATGTAAAGCAATGTATTCCCCGACCAGTCACCATGCTCGGATTATGAAGGCGGGACTCGGGGAATCTCCGCTATCTCCGACCGCGCCGAATCCTCCGCAGCTTCGGGGTTGCTCTTTTCAGTTTCCACCACCCACTCTTACTGCCATTCCAACAAAGAACTCTCCTTTTTATCCTACTTATATACCTCTTCAAACCTTCACTCCCTCGGTACATAGAATATGGCCGGACGACAAAGGATCATACGGGCAGCATCGCTGCAAAGCCTGGCGCCAATTCCCCGACCCAACCGCTCCGCCGCAACATCAGCTCGCCTCTTCTCATCCACATCCCTCAACTCAAACCCTGCGCGCATACCCCTGGACATCCCTCCCCCGTTTCCCGTTACCAAAACATGTCCCGAACCGAGCTGCTCCTGCCCGGCGACCCCGTCCATGCCCGCGCCCATCGACTATGACCAGCCGCTAAACGGAACGATGGCGGCCTACGCACAGCAGCTTCTCATCTGCACCGGACAACGAGACTGGACGAGTCGCATAGAGGAGGACGGTCAGGGCCAGAGCTGGGGTGAGATGGTCCGAGGATTGAAACGCCTGCTCGGGCGTGGGGGGAAATATGCCGATGTAAGTCATACTTCATCATTATGAGGTCGCAACATCCCACTGACAATTGCTACGATAGCCCTTCAACAATATCCTAGTCACCAGCTCCTCCTTCCTCCCCTCGTCACAAACATCATCATCAGAAACCAGCGCAGCAACCCCCCAGACCGCATCCGCCTTCCTCTTCCCCAGCTTCAAATACTTCCCCTCCGTCCCTGTCAATGTCCCCGAGTCCGCCTCCGCCTCCGCAACAACCGACCTCTCGACCTTCGTCCGCGCGTTCCTCCTCCCCAGCGAATCAAGACATGGAGGGCAAATACGCGAGCAATCTCTGGCAGCTGAGTTCCCAGATGCCGTTGACCTGCAACACTCCCCCGTTGTGTTGATCTGCGGGCACGGTGGTCGCGACATGCGATGTGGTGTCATGGCGCCGGTTCTGGAGACTGAGTTTCAACGGGTGCTGAAATCTAAGGGGTACACGTCTGCGGGAAGTGATAACAGTGTTGTTGATAGCCCCGAGCATGCTCACATCGGGCTGATCAGCCATGTTGGAGGACACAAGTATGCTGGAAACGTGATCGTATATATCCCTCCCGGAATGAAGGAAGCTGGCTCTTCTTCGCCGCATCCGTTGGCGGGCAAGGGTATTTGGTATGGGCGTATTGAGCCCAAGCATGTGCAGGGTGTGGTGGAGGAGACGATCCTGGGTGGGAAGGTTATTACGGATCACTTCCGGGGAGCGGTTGATCGGGAGAGTGGGGTGTTGAGGTTGTAGCCTTGGAGATTTGGCTTGGTGGTAGAATATATTGTATAGTAGAGAATAGATCTTTTGTCTATGATAATGCTGAATCGGAAGTGAAGCGTATAAAAATAGAGCTGGTGACTAGAGTCAGCTTAATGGAGCGCGTGGGTGACGATACTGACCGAGTGAGGTCTGCTGTACAATTCCATAGGACAGCACATCAGTTGAATATTAACATAGTAGTAAGTTAGAGTCTGTCAGACTGATGGGTATATGTCCATTCATAGTATCTCTGATATTGCTTACGTACCAGAAACCCCAACCCCAGGATCATCTCCGCATCGGCTTCCCGGCTGCGGGGAAAAGCAAACATCGGGATGCCGGTTAAGCACAATATACACAACAACAGCCAATTAAAGCCATCAACACAGCTCAATTGCCAACAAAAACACAAGCTATACATACAGAACCACAATTCTTTTATTTTTCCCAACCCAACTCCCTACTCATCTCCACACAATCACTCAATCTTTCCCTTATTGACCACGAATCCCTCCAACGCCGAAATAGCAGCCCACAACCTATTCTCTGCCTCAGGGAAAACCAACGACCGATGTCCATAAAACACCTCATCAGCCACCTCCTCAGGGTGCCTAGGAAGACAATGCATGAACCTCCAACCCTCATTAGCCCCACCCCTCTTGGCCAACTCACTCGTAATCTGAAATCCAGCGAAATCCCTCAACCTCTTCGCAGCCTCCTCCTCCTGTCCCATCGACACCCAAGTATCAGTAACCAACACATCAGCCCCCTTAACCGCCTCCTCGGGAACATTCGTCTGCACCAACTTTCCGGGGGACTTAACGCCCTCGCCGGCCTTCTCAATAATCTCCAACATCTCCTTAGGAATCTCATAACCCCGGGGAGTAGCAACATTAACATCAACACCCATTTTCCTGGCACTAATAGCCATATCGAACAGCACGTTATTGGCATCGCCCACCCAAGCAATCTTCAACCCATCCAATCCCAACCCCTCTAACTTCCCACCCTTGTTCTTCCCAGAACCACCGAAATGCTCACTGATCGTCTGGAAATCCGCAATGGCCTGCAACGGATGGTACGAGTCACAGAGGGCATTGATGACGGGCTTGGTGGAGTGCTTAGCGAGGTCCGCGACGTCAGCGTGCTTGCCTACGCGGGCAACGATGCATTCCACCATGGAGGAGACGACTACGGCAGTGTCGTAGAGGGATTCGTTGACTCCGAGTTGGATGTCGTCCTTGCCGAGGAACATCGGGTGACCGCCCATTTGGACGACGGCGCCTTCGGTGGAAATGCGGGTGCGGGTGCTGCGCTTGCTGAACATCATGGCGACGGTCTTGCCGGAGAGGGCGCCGTTGAGGGATTGGGGGATGGAGCCGGATTTGATGGCCCGCTTGTGGGAGGAGGCATTGCGGACGAGGGTTGCGAATTCGGTCGGGGTTAGGTCGGCGATCGAGAGCAGGTGGCGCGGTGCGAAGGGCGAGGTTGCCGGCGTTGCGGCGGAGTGGCTGCTCGAGGAATAGAGCCGGCGCAGGGCATGGCGGGTTGTGGAGGGCCCGTAGCGGGCGGCTGTGGCCGCTGTGCGGAGGGGGGAGGGCATTGTGGGTTTGGTAGGAGGGATTGGGAGGAATTTGGGAGGTGGTGAAGAAGAAGAGAGATGGAATTGGAGGTGAGTCAATATAGGTAGGACAGGACTGGGGATGTTGTCACGTGAGAGGTGTTGAGCGAGTGGGCCGATCACGGAGGACTATGACTCAATAGTTTGATTTGGTTGGCGGATGGGGAAAAATAAGTACTAGACTAGTAGATCATTCTGTGATCAGTAAGGATTTTGCTAGGAAGCTGTAGAGGATGTAATGATGGTATTGGCTAACTACGATTATGCGCTATGTATGTATGCACAGGGTATTTGATTAGTATCTCTCCACCAGCCACTTCCGTCGCGCTTCTGCCTCCATTGCATTCAGCTTCTTGCTCTCGGCTCGTTTGACAGTGATATAGTTCTCAACCAGAGTGTTGCCAAGCACATCCCGGAGAGCCTTGTCAGATGCCATATTGTCCAGACTCTGTGTCAGGGTCGTGGGGATTTGGGTGGTAATTCCAAGGGCACTGCGGTCCGCCTCGCTGAGTGTTGCTGCGTCATCTACACCAATTTGTTAGTATGTGTGCACGCTAAAGAATAGCCTCATTGGCAGTATAAAAGAGTACTTACATAGACAGTCCTGCAGGGTCAGGGGCAGCTTCTCCTGCACACCCAGAGATCCTGCAGCCAAGATTGCAGCCATCGCCAGATACATATTGGACAGACCATCAAGCGCCTTGATCTCCCAGTGACCCGCAGAAATCTTCCGGATGGGTGTCTCGCGGTTCTGAGTGCCCCAGGCGACCCACTCGCTTCCAGCCCAGAGGCCGGAGTGCATCCGGTCGTAGCTGACATCATTAGATAGAGTGAAGGCCGTCAAAGAGGTGAAATGCTTGAGCACACCAGCCAAGAAGCTCTCCTCCTGAGTCGCTGGAGTCACGGAGACATGCGCATGGGCGGCTGAGCCAGCAGCGTGCGAGTAGGGGCGAGGATGAAGGGTTGCGCGGTAACCGTGTTGTTCAGCAACATAAGTCACGACCTGTCGTGCCTTGAGCAGGGTATCGACGGCAGCGACGGGTGATCCGGGCGGTAGAATGAATTCAAACTGGCCCGGGGCCGACTCGGCGTGAAATTGTTCGAGGTCAATGCCGATGGATGCAAGGGTATCAACAATCTCCTCGAGCAGCGGCACCATGCGTCGGGTGTCTCGGGTCATCTGAGACCAGGAGTGATTGCGCACGCATGGAACAAACTCTTCCTCATCGGTATCCGATTTAGTGACGCATTTCAGCAGTATAACCTCAATCTCGAACCCGCAGAGGACGTCGATTCCATGCTTGGCACGCAAATCAGTCGTCACGCGGCGCAGAACGGTTCGTGGACATCCTTCCACCTCCGAACCCTCCTCAGAACGCCCCCAAGTCATAACAGTGGCGCTCTTCGAGTCGATCCCCACATTTCTAGAGAGAGTTGAGAGATCTGGTTCGAGATAGAACTGGCCGGTTGTGGAACCTTCCGGACAGACTGTATCGGACTGGAGCATCAAGAATGTCGCTGTACAGATACCGATCCGACGTTGCTTGCGAACAATCTTAGCAAATTCCCGAATAGGGAACATCCGCACCCGAACTGTGGAAGTGTAGTCAAAGAACTGCATCCAGATATACTTGACATCTGGATTGCTATGCATGAAGCTCTCTAAGGCGTCGGTCGAAGAAAGTCCAGATAGAGTGGTGACGGCAGGGACCAGCCTGTCGTCATAGGTAACCGTCTCATTCAGGCTATACAGGCGGTTGGAGTTATGGAACAATATATCGGCAGCAGCAAGCTTGGCCTGGTCGATAGTGTGATCGCCTTGATTAACGTAATCCACGAGGACCTAGTAAGAGTTAGTTTCTGAAAGCATACATGCAATTGGTTTAAATGGTATGGACCTTTTCCAGTGCGTCGCGGAACTGCTTGTTCGCCAGCCAATATGTCTCCGGGAAAAAATGGCCATCGGTACTCCACAGAAGGCGGGTTGTGGGTACAATTTCCAAGCTCTCGCGGATGATAGATTCCTGAGCGTCTCGACTCACCATGGGAAACACCTCCCCAAGATCCAGATACACATTCGGGTAGACACAGGCAAGATAGCCGGCCTCCCGAGTATACGGATAAGCGGAATGCAAAAGCACAAAGTCCACCTTGGGATAACGGGCAACCAAGTCCTGCAAATATGCGGGGTTCGAAAGTATTAGGTTGATATCATTATCTCCAAGTCCCGTGTGCAGTTGCAGGGGCTTGTTGGGTCCCGACGCATCTTTCTCCTTGGCAGATTGAAGCTGGTTCAGGGCCTGCCTGACCAGCCAATCGTTCAATGGTTTGTCCTCCACGCGGTATGTAGATCCAGATCCTTGCGACAAGGTTCGGGAGAAAGACTCGAGGAGGTCGCCGTCATCTTTGTCATCAGTCACTTGGACGTTCAGTCCAGTACGGTAGCAGATGACCGATTTGAAACCTACAACCACGGGATCTGCGATAGCCTCTGAGATCTTCTGGTCAAAACCCTGGCGGAACTGGTCCAAATACTGCCGAAGAACGGTGATGTCGCTCGAGGACTGATCGAAACCATTGGGAAAAATGGAGGCAAGGACTTGGGCGGCCACAACTTCAATCCGTACGATCCGCTTGGTCGGGGCTGTGGTAAACCGATCATGCCAAGCAAAAGGCTCGATATCTTGATCCGTAAGCAAATCATCAAGGAGAAGGCTATGAGTGCCTTCCAGACACCGACGGATCAAGCCATCGTAGTCACGCTCGACGTATTGATCGCGAGCCGCTTTTACGCGGTTCCACTCGGTTGTCGGGCAATCGTAGAGGGTTGCTAGCTGGGCGGCGGCACGCTGGAGGGGTAAGGTGGACGGAGCATTGTGTAGGGCGGGGCCTTGGGCCTCAGAAGTGATCTGTTCAAAAGGATATTTTGCGTAGTTGCTGGCTGCGGCCTGCGCGAGGAGATTATGGGCGTGGTTGTCGATAAGAGGATGGGTTTGGATGAGGCGACGAAGAGAGGTGAGCGGATCCATGGTGCGCTGATTGGTTGGCCGGTTCGATCGATCGATCGTTTGCGGATCACGGTTAGTCGGCCAGGATTGACCGTGCGCCTTGGAACCAGGAAGGAAGAGGGGGAGGAGGAGGGGAAGGATCAAGGCGACTGAGGCAGTTGACAGAAGTGAAAAAGAGTGAAGAGTGAAAGACGACTGAGAGGAAATCGAAGAACTCATAAAGCATCAAGGAAAAAAAACTTGCCAGCCTAGCCGATAAAGAGTGAATGATGAAGAGAAAGAAAGAGAGAGAGAAGGGGGCAAGTAGACGATGCTTACCCGATTAGGCAGCTCGCGAGTAACCGCCGACCGGGAAGGTCCTATTGCTTGATTCAGTCATTCGCGTTTCTATTCATTGAATCTCGTCGCCAAGCTCCCTGATAGACCTGGTCCGGAGTTCTCTCCGAACCAGTTGCAGGCGTAGCAGATGGCCATGTAAATGGCGTATATGCTCCGAGGTACACAAGCGGGCAATCTCGACGACCGGAGCTCGTCAACCATACGCAATCCGGTATCTTCCACGAGCTTGGGCGGAGTCCAGTTCCACCACCAGGTCGATCATCTTCATCGGAAGAATTCCTCAGGTTGGTTATTCTTATATATCAACTTCCGAGGATTACCCCTCGAACGTTTCTGGAAAACTTGACGGGCCATGGAGGAGGTGTCTTGGAGCAGTTTTCATCTCCTCCATCCTCATAGGGTGATTCGGGCGATAATCCTCCACTCTTGCGCTTTCTTCGTCGCCCGATTGTAGAAAGGCCAGGGTGTATTTACAATTCAAGTACTATACTACGTGGAAGTCCTCTTGAGCAATCACACTGTGCTATGACCCAGATGAGACATGCTGACGACTGACAATTCCGCTGTCACTAGAACACTGGTGGGGATACTTAAGTAGAGCCGTGTTACCGGCGTAGAAAGCTCCCAACTAGGTAACCAGCTCCCCTCCTTCAAGTGACCCCAATACATCAAAAACGGAAATACCCCCGGAGGGCCAACAACACCAACAGGATATGATTTCGGGTATTTGCTAACCGGTGAAGACTAGAAAACAGAGACGGGCCTGGAAACCAAGCCACCGAATTCGCCCTAGACTGCAGGTTCAGCGGAGGCTGTTATTGGTTTACACAGACCTTTGTTGCGAGTTGTACACGCCCCTGAGTACACCCAGAAGGATGGATAGACGGACGTCGACCAGCACGAGCTGTTTTCGACCGCAGGTGTCCACCAATCCGTACATGGTACCTTTGTTACTTTATTAATCCCACAGGTGGGTGCGGGAAGCAACGGGCCGAGGATCGGCTTGCCGAGGCACAGTGAAAAGAAAGTGTGGCCCCAGCGCACTTGGGACTTCCGAGTCGGAGCCTAGCGCCTGTTTGACACTGAGTGAGGTTGATGACAGCAGTGAAACATAACTCAGGGGTGCTCACAACCTCGAGACACTACATAGACAGACATGCGTGGATTGCCACTCGGGCCAGTGCAGCGGTAGAAGTATTACATGATCAGGTGATGTGCTGCTTATCAGTGACCAGTACAAACGAAGCAAACAGTCTCGGCCAAGTATCTACAGGGTCAGGTACTGCTACTATTGTAGGCAGGTCTCTCGGCAGGTATGTACGTAGTCTGGCGCATAGACCTGCCTGCCGAGAGCAATGATAATAAACTTGCATACCTGGCGAACTTACTAACCAAAAAGGTTGTGTCACACGCACAGGTGACCAAGACTCCAGGAGTGCATGAATACGGGTTGTAGTTCACATGGATGAAGGCCGCGAGACAGGTATGTATGGCATGGAAACATGTGATGACGTTGACGACTACTGCAGTCACACACACTGCAATGTGATGGTCAAAGGCCATTACTGTCTCATTTCATCATCATGAACAGATCGCTCAGATCAGCCGGAAGTGTCTAAAAGTTTACCATGATTGTTTGAAGCCATCTATACTGAAGTCAAATTGCTTATAGACAGAACAGAAGCTGATCATATATCGGACAGTACGTAGGTACTGCCGACACGTCTTCTCATCCAGGTCAATAACAACTAGGTATTAAGCAAAGGCGGGGATGGAGTCTGGAGGAGAAGAGGCCTGAGGCCAGCAGAGAGGAACACCCCACAGGCACATGGGCCTTAGTCAGCTCCCCACAGCGCCAGGGGCTCTGCACTTAACTAATTACACTTTTTCACATTTCACTTGCCTCTTGCCTCTTGCCTCTCTTGCCACAACATTCCAGTCTACGGGGATCAGTCCTCACTTTGTTTGCAGCCTGTTGACGTTCTACATCACCACGTGTTTTGTTCAACTAAACATAGACAAGGCACGGAAAAACGGTCTATAGATGCGGCCCCTCTGAGACCAGACTGGTCTGAAAGAACTAATTGACTTGGCCATCGACAATTGCAGGGTTCGACCGGACCCGGGAGTCCCCGAAAATCCCCGATCCTTGGCACGGTGATCACAGTCAATGACAGGCGTGTAAGCGAAGCAAAGCATGCAATTGACTTTGTTCGCTGAACTCGCTGCTAGCGGGACAGAAAACGAGCAGAACTTGGAGACTACGGTAGGTAGGCAGGTCTGATAGCTCGGCTAAGCTGAATTGCGATAACCGTCCAGCCGAAGCGAGGGTGCGTGAGACAATCAGGGTGGGTGAAATTCACAGGGCCTCATGACCTTTGTCCCGCTAGAATTTTGATCGAGTAAAGGAATTGCCTAAACGGGTCGGCATTGGAGATTTGATCGAGTAACAGCGGTGAGGAGGCAATCACTTGCATTGCAGCAGGAGAGGTCCGATGGCGGATGCCGGAGGCGCCCGATAGCCCGACCCATGGTTCTGACTGGCCCAGAAGATAAGCCGGAAATTCTCTTCACTTTCCCCACGAGGGAATACGTCCCGAAATGGCAACCATGAGGGTGTACAGACGAAGGGGTTGTCCAGTGGAAAAGGCATCCTCTCGTTTGGGGGGAGGGAAGAAGGAGAGGAGGTGGACAAATATAACCTCCGGTTATCGATATGGTGATAAGGATAGTTACCGGGGCAGGCACTCGCAGACAAACAGGTCAGGCGTGAAGAAAGAATGGGCAAGAAAGAAAAAGACGCTTGGATGGCAAGCCGGTGGATCCGTCAAAGGGGGTGGAGCCAGGTTTTTGTTACTCGATGGGATTATTTGGTTCGATCGCCGTGGGTCTCCAGGGAACAATGGCGGCTTATCTTCTCAAACATTTAAAGCCCTTATCGCAGCCAGCAATTCGTCCTCTCGCCTTCTTCATCCTTATCAAGTCAATTCATCCCTTGCCTTTTGACGCCGGTGGAGCCTTTCCGCATCAGTCTATCGCTTATCTCGTCTTTGCTTCTTTAACTTTTCGTCCGCCCATCCTGGCTTTGATTGCTCTGCAGCTTCATCGTTCTTTGCATCTTTGGCCTCTCTTAGCGCGCAATCCTTCCAATCGATCACCCTCACTATGGAGGCTTCTCAGATCCCATCCATTGCCGTGATCGCCTCGTCGCGCGCCGTCATCTCCGGCCGTTTGACATCAGCCACCATTGTCATCTCTCGCACTACCGGCAAGATCACGGCCGTCTTTGATTCGGTGATCCCGGCTTCTGATTTCCCTGCTGGCACCCCCTATACTGATTATTCCCCCCACGTTCTGCTCCCCGGTCTGGTTGACGCCCATGTCCACCTGAACGAGCCGGGCCGCACCGAATGGGAGGGCTTCTACACTGGCACCCAGGCGGCTGCCTTTGGCGGTGTCACCACGGTCATCGACATGCCCCTGAATGCTATTCCTCCTACCACCACGGTGGCCAACTTCAAGGAGAAACTCCGTGCTGCCCAAGGGAAGTGCTGGGTTGATGTTGGCTTCTATGGCGGCATTATCCCCGGCAATGCCGGTGACTTGAAGGCCCTCGTCCACGAGGGTGTCCGTGGTTTTAAGGGCTTCCTCATTGACAGTGGGGTAAGTCTCAGTCGTCTCTTTCTAGATCACGTAGGTGTGCTGACATATAGCCCTAGGTCGACGAATTCCCCGCCGTGTCTTCCGAAGACATCCGTAAGGCCATGGCTGAGCTAGCAGATGAGCCCACGACTCTCATGTTCCACGCCGAGATGTTGCCGCCCTCCACTGCTTCCGAGGAGAAGGACCAAGCTCTCGAAGGTCCCGCAGAGGCGTACTCGACTTTCCTCGCATCCCGTCCGTCGGCGTTTGAGACCTGTGCCGTGGAGGAGATCATTAACCTGTCTCAGGTGGCCCCCAAACTCCCTCTTCACATTGTTCACCTGTCTGCCATGGAAGCTATCCCTCTGTTGCGCAAAGCCCGCGCTGATGGCGTCCCTATCACTGCGGAGACTTGCTTCCACTACCTGTCCTTGGCGGCTGAGGAGATCCGGGATGGAGACACCCGCCACAAGTGTTGCCCACCCATCCGTTCCCAGTCGAACCAGGACGCTCTGTGGGACGAGTTGGAGCGCCATGCGGAAGATGGTGTGATTCAGACGGTCGTCTCGGACCACTCCCCCTGCACCCCTGATCTTAAGCTCCTGCCATCACACGTCCCCGGCTGCTGCCCATCAGACGGCGACAGCACTCAAGTTGACAATGAGGGTAGCTTCCTTTCCGCCTGGGGCGGTATCTCATCAGTTGGCCTCGGCCTCCCCATCCTATGGACGGAGCTTAGCCGTCGCAAGGCCCTGAAGGCTGCAGACGAAACCACGACCCAACAGGCTCTGCAGGACGTTGTACGACTCTGCTGCACCAACACTGCCGTCCAGGTTGGCCTGCAGCACCAGAAGGGTGACCTTGTCCCCGGCCACGACGCCGACATCTGTGTCTTCGACGACACCGCAGAATGGATCGTCGAACCCAGCACCATGCTCTTCCGCAACAAGTGCTCACCATACCAGGGCCGCAAGCTTCGTGGACTGGTCCGCGAAACCTGGCTGCGTGGCGAGAAGATCTTCAGCCGCGACGATGGCTTCAGCACCAAGACGCCCTCCGGAGGCCTGCTTCTGGAGAAGCGTGCTTAAGACCTCTCACTCCTCCTACCTGTCCCGAGTCACTCATCATCACCCTTTAGGACTGTTGACAGCCCACTAAGCGGATGACACGACATCTTCCTCATCTCTTTCTGCCACAAGCATCTTCATCATCTCATATACACGACCTGACATGATACCCGCCACCTGATGATTTACTACTAATGAGCATTCGCAGCATATACATCAGCGCATAGACTAGTATCCCATAAGCGACGGTGTAGACAGACAGCACCTCGATAGACACGAATACATCATCTTACTGAATATTTCTCTTTCCAGTCTATATCTGCAGTATAGTAGTATAGCATAGCATAATGCAAAGTAGTAGTAATGAGTAGTAAGTAGTAGCATGTGAACAAACAATAGAATGAATGATCAACAACCCCGTCTCGCCACTCGCCCCCGGATCGATGAAGAAATTTCCCCAACCATCACGATGGATAACTCTGAAGATAAGTTAGTTAGTCAGGTCAGTCCCACCTAGAGGTAACGAAATCATGACAAGATAGACATTAGACTTCTAGTAGATAGACAAATCCCCGAGGATGGATGATCCTTTCGCCTTCACCGCCACCACCCGCCGAACCCCGCGTCCAACACCCACCACCCCCCTTCAAGTTCTCAGATTCCTTACTACTTCGGCTCCCCACACGTGCACGCCCTTTTCTCGGACCTCGGAGTTATTCTCACGGACCAGGATTCTTCCACTGAACTTTAGTTTTTGATTATCATCATCTACTTACTAGTTAGTTTGTTAGTTAAGTTAGTTATCTGGGGAGATTTCTTCCCGCTCAATCTTCAGGAGGTGTTTTTTGTCTTTATTTTTTTCTTTTCTCTGCGGGATTCATCTCAGATACCTTTCAGATGGTTTTTCCCCCCCGAGGGTGGGTGCGAATACTGATGAAACCGTCCCCGTCCTGAGTCCTCATAAAGAAGGGATAAATGGAAATAGGTGGCAGATGAAAGGAATTCAGTTCATTATTGATTTGGCATCGCCTAGTTTCGAGGGAGGAGTAAAGGGCCAAAGCAGGGGGAAGTGAATCATGTTGAAAACAAGCGGTGAAAAAAACCAGACATGATGACAAGACAGGAACAGAACATGCTTTCGCAAACGCCGATAATAAGGCCTACGCCATGCTACGGAAATCCCGCTCAAAGAAGAAGCCGACAGAGTGTGAAACTAACATGGACATGAAAAGAGATTTTGGTGTTTTTGTGCTGATGATTGATGGGTTCATAGGTTGAGAGAGGTGGTAGTTCTCGTTCATCCTTGGCTGAAAGCCGAGACGACTATTTCGTCTTCTTCACCTCCTCGACCGCAATGTCCCCGCTGTGAGCGCTGGTGGAACCGTCAAGCGAAACCACGTCTTCGTCGGGGTCGATTTCGTTCCGGACACGTTGACGACCGCGCTCTTGCATCGATACATGAATCCGGCGGTTGACTTCTCCAAGATCGTCCTTGGATTTGATGGAGAGGGGCTTGAGGAGCGTGTCGTACAGGAATCCCGCGCTTCGGGATCGGCTCCGGCTGGTTCGGTCTTTGCTGCGGTTGCGACTTTCGGGCTCGCTAGGGGGCATGCTCTTGAGACGGGATTGATAGGTGTCGTCCTCGGGGTGTTCGTGCGAGATAAGCTTCTCCGATTCGAAGTCAGGGAAGATTTCAGGGGCGAAGGTGTCGATTACGTCGACTACTCGTGCGGAAAGGGCCTGGCGTTCAGCGCGGAGTTTGGCGAGCGAGTTGGCGGATCTTGGGTCGAGAGCCCGCAGAAGAGGAGGTAGGGATTTCAGAACGTCGATACCGATCTCGCCGATACGGAGACCCGCGAACGAGACAGAAATCATGAGACCGAAGAAGAAGATCGAGAAAAGCGCAAGGGGAATCGAGTCGGAGATGTAAGTCCTGGCGTTCAACCACCACGGCGCTACAGACGCGTAGTATCCGTCATGGCGGCAGTAATGGAGCCAGATTGTCACGATTACGGTATACCAGGTATAGAGGGCTGGTGCCAATCCCATGGCGACCAGGATCTTCCACGTTCCAACGACGTCGCGACCTTCGAGCTTGACCACGGAACCGGCGAGGGCCTTGCGCTGCTTCTTGACGGAAACAACCTTGGCCGTCACGAAGACAGGCCAGAAAAGTGCCACCGATGGCAAGGTTCCGATCGCAAGCGTAAGCAACTCTCCCACGCGGTATAACAAGGTACCAAAGACAAGCCACCACGGCCGATGCGTCACATCACCCCATTCAACCTGGTGATCCCGAATTCCGAGAGCCCGGAGACGGCGGTTATAGTCGGAGATGGCCTTCTTCAACTGGAGCACCTTGGGTTCATCTTTGAATTGGGTGTAGCCTTTGAGAAGTCGGCGGTTCAGTTCGATCACAACGGGCAGAGGGAGCTTCATTCGCAAGGGCTTATATAGTCGTCGGGTGGCTTGGATGACCATCAGGGTCTCGTGGTCGGGCGCTTGCTGGGTTACTGCAGTGAGTGCTTCCGTGATTGTCTCCAACAGAGATCCCACAGCATTCCGCTTCGAGTTTCCACCAGCCTTGAAGGCCTCAATCTGATCCGGGTGAACTTGCACAGGGTTACCGAATTCAACGACGGCACGAGAACGGAATTTGTTCGGATGGAAGTAGTTCATGCCGCATGGGATAATGGAGAGACCGCAGTTAGGATCCTGCGCGAGCGTTCCGAGGGCGATAATGGCGACACCGGCCTTCAAGGGCAACAGACTGGGACGATCATGACTTCCGCCTTCCGGGAAGATACCGATACAACCACCTGCGACCAGCTCGGAATACACGGAGGCGAACATCTTGCTCTGATCGATGTGAGGAGCAGCCTTGAATGGGGTACCCTTGCGCAATGGCTCGTAGAGGGGATGGTCCTTCTCAAATTTCTTGAATGGTTTCCGCAGACGAATTTCCTCGGGTCCTAAGATCTCCTCAATCGCCTGTTGTTCCGGACTCGTTTTGCCCACACGCGGGAGAATGATGGCGCCGCCCACCATGAACTGATCGGAAGTGAAGTCGGTACCCCTGCCACGGACCAGGGTCGGATCGTTGTCAGGATCGGGGAGGTAAATTTCACCCTTGGCGGGTTTGACATGGTCCATCGATCGCACGACGGGCAGAGCGCCCATGCACCCGGCCATAGTGCCGATATACGGCTCGCGCATGGACTTCTCTGCGATCAAAAACGAGGTTCTGCGACCGGCATAGTGTTTCAAGATGCGCATCAACAGAATGGAATCTACAAACTGATTTGCATGAGGGGCGGCGACGATGATGACAGGGCCGCGTTTGGGAATCCGCCATGCGCCGCGCGAGTAGACCTCGCGGAAGAAGATGTCCAGACAGAGAGTGAAAATCCACACTCCGAGGTCGTACAACCACGGGATCATAAATCTGCGCGCCATGACTTGCCTCTGTAATTTGACACTAATGCTAGATAGTCGTGCACAACAGGGAATCAAGAGCAAGTATAAGAGAAGAAAATCGAAAGGGGAGAGGATTATATGAGCTGAAATGTGTTTGATCTCAACTCATGACCGCGGGGGATTTTATTGCCAGTGACGTTGAGGCAACAGGCGGAGTTTCTTGAGGCGGACAGCAAAAACAACGGCGGCAGCAAAGCGCGTTGAAAAGGGAACAAAAAAAGCCGGGGAAGAGGCAGAGCAATAAGAACCGTCTGTTTGTTCTTTCGCAGGGGTTCTCCGCCTGAGGGAGGTTGGTTCCCCTTAATCCGTGGCTCAAAGGAGGAGGTGTTACCGCAGCTTGCCAGATGAAAATGTCGCAATAATCCAGCTTCACCGGCAAAGAAGCTTCGCGAAAAAAAGAAAATGGTGTTAAAAAGGAAAACCAGTGAGCGAAGAATGATGATGTTCGGTGTTCCACCCAGACTAGACTAGGCCTATGCCGGAGAAACCAAAACGGGTCTGAGCTAGTCAATTTGGGAGAGTTACTCCGGTGCAGTATCGCCGGGGTAAGAGAGGTGTCTTGCCAACTGTTGGGATCTCAACAGATCAGTTGGGAATAAATTGATAGGGTGCAGCTGGTTTGATAGGTAACTGACAAGTAGTAGGCCAGGATGTGCGAGAGTTCTAGAGCTTTGGCAAGAGAAAGTGCCAATCATAGCATCGGGCTTGCTGGTCGATGAATCATAGGATGCGCGCGGGGTTCTCGGATGGGCGCGTGGAGGTCACGTGCCACTCTCGCCGTTGCGGGTAACCGGACTTGGACTAGCGTGTCGTTGGCGCATGTGGTTACGGTATGGTACTCTGTTGCGGTAAGTTACCCCGCAGAGTTGGTAGTCTGGACGGTATCAGTTGGAGTTAAGTAGGGAGCTCATCATTTCGCCTATAAGGCCTTCGGCATGGAATAGATTCCATTTTCACAATCACTGCTTAATGGTAACACAGGAAAAGGCTTGTAGAGAGACGGGGGAAGTACCGGTCTCACACTGACTATACTGGATGCCATAAACAGCCTCAGTCTCATCCACACGGCAAACAGCTCCAGATCCGATCGGAACCCTGGGAACGGCTAGACGCTGGTCACCATGACTAAACACAGCGACTCCATTTGTCAAGAGCCAGACTGAATCTTCCATCAAGTGGCAGAGGAGCGGGTGGTGGGGACTCTCAAGTGGGGAAGAATGGGGTGTCACTTGGCGGACATGGATATCATCAACAAGAGAGAGGAGCATAGTTGACGTCCAGAAAATATCAGAATGAGAAAGATGAAAGCAAGAGAGATGGAAGAGTAAGAGACACATCCCCGCATAGAGGGCCGCATTCTCCGCAATTTTCCCACTCTGATTGGAGTGGGGGATGCAAGGCGCGCGAGTCAGCCGCGAGGACAACAAACAGGTCGATCTCACGTAGTGATAACCGTAGCTTTTCCCACTTGCTCAATTTCAAGATGAGCCAGTATAAAAAGGTGCGGCCGATTAGAATAGACAGACATCCATCGTTAGAACCATAGACAGACCGACAGCATGTCGCCCACCAAGGAGGAAATTCACTGCGACGACGATGTGCCCATCTTGATCGTTGGGGCCGGCCCATGTGGCTTACTCCTTGCGTATTTGCTTGCCCAACTTGGAGGTATGGGACAACTCCTCCACGATATAGGAAGCTGGTCATGAGAGAAAAGTTCGGGATAGATTCGCTGACTGTCTTCTACTTGTCTTTTAGTCCGATCTCTGCTATGTGAACGTTACCCCACCAGACTACAAGCGCCAAAAGCACATGCACTGTCCCCTAGAACACTCGAACTATGCCGGCAGTACGGCTTGGATGTGAACGAGATTCGCAGCATTGGTACCAAACGCGGAGAGGCGTTCTGGGTCAATTTCATTACAAGTTTGAGTGGCAGGCAGGTCGGAAGACTCCCCTATGAGCGCATGGATCCAGAAGTTCTGGAGAGCACACCGACGGTATGACAATTATATGAAGACCTCAAAAACTGAGATACATGCTCATGTTAGTGATAGATGATTCATAATATTCCTCAGCCAGACTTTGAGGAGCTGGTCGCTAAGCGGTTATCCAAGAACAATCTGGTGGAGATACGCAAGAATCATTCCTTTGTTAGACTGACTGATGTAAGTTTCTTGGTAAATCGCGAAACCAATCTAGAGCTGTTACTGATATCGACATAGCGCGGTGATTATGTCTTAGCCACCATCGAAGATCGTGCAACACAGCAAGAATATACTGTGAAGTGCTGCCATCTTGTGGCATGCGACGGAGCAAAGAGTGCAGTCCGGAGATGTTTGGGAATAGAGAGCGAGGGCGAGGACTCTTGTATGTGGTACAGCTGACCCATTCAATACTTTGAGGCTGACCACTACTTAGATGAAACCATGATGACTATCCATATTAATGCCAACCTGCATCCCGTGGTCAAAGAACGAGTGGGTATGTTACACTGGGTTATGGACCCAGAAGTATCCGGTTTCATTATTGGATACGACCTCGGAGGGAACCAAGTCTTGATCTGTAATTTTGATGTGAGTCCAAAATATTGACTCCTCGATTGGTTGTTTACTTCAAGAAACAGCCACCAACTAACTCCGAGTAGGCTGAGAAGCACCCAGTCAACTCATGGGACGAAGCGCTTTGTCGCAAAGTTGTTGACGCAGCTATTGGTGCAAAGATCCCATACGACGTATTGAGTTATCGACCATGGATATTGAGTAGGAAAGTCGCACTTGCATACCGAGCAAACCGTGTATTGCTGTCAGTAGTATCGCATCTAAGTCTCCAGTAGTACGTGCTAACACAGTCGCACAGAGCCGGAGATGCTGCGCATTCTTTCCCACCTACTGGGGGATTGGGACTGAACAGCGGTCTAGGGGATGTCCATAACCTCGCATACAAGCTCGCAGCAGTGCATCATGGATGGGGTGGCGACAAGCTTCTGGACAGCTATGAAGCTGATCGGCGGCCAGTTGCCTGCGATAACGCTGAGCAAAGCGTCAAAAACGGCAAACAGATATTTGGTCTTTTAAAAGCGCTCGGGACTACCGATCCTGATGTTCAAGTTGCGAGGCAGAATTTATATCGCAACATTGAAGACGCACAAATGATGAAGGAGATCAACAAAGGCATTGAAGGCCAGCGTGAGCACTTTGACAACCTTGGTCTTCATGTGGGCTATGTCTACGGTAACCACAAGCGCCCAGACTGTGCCTCGACATATGAGCCCGTTTGCATTCCTGGAGCCCGCTTACCGCACGCGTGGATCAAGTTATTGACCCCAGACCAGATACGGCTTCCCCCCATTGATTGTTCCTATGTATCTGAGTTTCTTCCCGAGGAGCTAAAACTGAAACAGTTCTCCACGCTAGATTTGTGTGCATTTGACGCTTTCACACTCATTGTGGACATAATATCAGCCGATATTTGGGGAAAGATCCTCGAAGAGGTGAAACGGCAACTCCCCGGCAAGTGTAGTGGGCTAAAACTCCAGATGATGACCAGAGGGGCAAACTTTGACATTCAGGCCGGGGGTGGCGAAAAGTGGATGGCGCTGACGAGATTAGCGGAGGGCCAGGCAATTCTAGTCCGTCCCGACCAGCACGTCTTAGCGCGCTTTGAATATCCGGGGGAATCTAGTGGGGTACTGGGGGAATTGAGGGCGCATCTGGCGTGGGATGAGGGTATAGGTGGTTCGGGGTAGATGGACCAACGGACAGACGGAGTTATGCAGAGCCGTCGGGATATCCGGGAAAGTGGGCTGATGTACGTCTGAGAGTGAGAGACAATGTGGTTTTAGATAGTAGATAGGATAGTATCACTCTGCAGAGACGTCTAGTATATCCGACGGGTATAAAATCGATAACCGTTCGCATTGATCGCCCATATAGTAGATGTGAGTAAAGAGGGAAGACCGGCAATGGCGAGGCAAAGTGTGGAGGAAAGCAGTGACGGATAAGAAAACAGCCGCTCTCCACCACCCACGGTGGGGATTTGTGTGGAGAGAGCGTGGGGAGTGACGCCACGGGGAAAAGAATCCCAAGAAGTACGGAAAGCAGATGCCGATCGCAGTCTCACTACACGTTCAGCTATAATAACTACGCGTCGCTGCCTGCTTCCTATTACCCCTCCCCCTCATTATTTCTTCTTCCCTCAATCTCCCCGTTCTCTCCTCACCCTGCAACATTGGCCAATTCCCCGTCTGCCTGTTGCAATCCGCCCATCATGTCCCACTCCGCCGCTGAATTGCAAAAGCCTACGGGCGAGTACCGTCAATACTTGCCCGACCTGAGTCTGAAGCGCTTCCAGGTGATGCGCACTCAGGATGCTCACGAATACGCCCATGATTTCAAGACGCTGAAGAACCCTCCGTGGCTGCATGCGCTGTATATGCACTGGGTTGATCTGCTGCAGGAACCCTTCAAGGGTGTTACCACCGATGGTAAGTTCTTTTTCTCCGATACATTCACCCCGCACCGCCGCTTCGAAGGGTCAATGCTAATCAATTGCCAAAGGAAATGTTCGCCCCGGCTTGTTCACGCTCCAAGATGAAGATGTGCCTGTTGGCGACATCGTTGAATCCGTTCAGAACGTTCTGTCCCTTGCCGACGACAAGCAGCGCCAGGCGCTTTCCTACCACATTGACTCTCCCGAATGGAGGACCTGGTCAAACCCCGAATTTCTTCTGGCCCACAAGGGTCTGCGCCTCGACGAGATTGACAACAAGTTGCGCGATGCCATCATGAACGTTCTGAAGACCACCCTCTCGCCCGAGGGCTACGACAAGGCCGTCAAGGCCATGCGCATCAACCACTTCCTTGGCGAGCTGGTGGAATCGCCCAAGGTGATGAACGAGTTCTCCTACAACTTTGTCCTTTTCGGTCGTCCCTCGACCACTCGGCCATGGGGCTGGTCCTTCTATGGCCACCACCTTTGCCTCAACATTTTCCTGTACAAGAACCAGATCGTCGCCTCCCCGTGGTTCACCGGCGCCGAGCCCAACGAGATTGACGATGGCCCGTACTCGGGTACTCGCATCATGCAGATCGAAGAAGAGCTTGGCCTCCGACTGATGCAATCCCTCACCCCTGACCTTCAGCAGAAGGCCCGCGTATTCGAACAGATGCACGACCCCGCCATGCCCCCAGGCCGCTGGAACCGCGATGACCAGCGCCACCTGTGCGGAGCCTACCGGGACAACCGCGTCGTCCCTAACGAGGGTATCACCGTCGAGGGATTCTCCGAGGAACAGAAGAAATTCATGTACGGCATTTTCGAACAATACCTGTTGTACCTCCCCGCTCGGGCTCGTCAGATGAAGCTGGACCAGATCCGCCAATACGAGTCGGAGACTTACTTCTGCTGGATCGGTGGATACGGCGACAGCGACCCCTTCTACTACCGCCTGCAGAGCCCCGTGGTTCTGGTCGAGTTCGACCACCACTCCGGCGTCTTCCTCAACAACGAGGAGCCCAAGAAATTCCACATTCACACATTGTTGCGTACGCCGAATGCCGGAGATTACGGACAGGCTTTGCGGGCTCAGATCCCCGCTGTGGAGGGACTTAATGGAAAGGAGATTGTGTGGGAGAAGTCCGCTCTGTGAAATGCCGGACACGTGTCAATATATGATGATGTTATGTGAATAGAGTGTTATATAGCGTACATACATATGGAATCCATGATATCCTCCAGGATGGCTATGAGGCTGTCACCATCCTGACCAACCACTTCTCGATCTGTGAAGTCTATGTATTGTCCCTTAGGCACAAAGCTGCTCCAAAGAAATAACTCGGACTAATGGGATTTATTGGATCCATTCATCGGCAGAGTTATCAAGAGGATCATAGCCGATGTCGGGACTCACAAGGGGCCGGATCAGCGGAGGAATGAAGATGGGTCAGGAGGTAGCCTTACTTCTTATAGGGACAGACTTGTCCCGCACGGTCCTCATTCGCCCTATCTATCTTAGCCTATGGATGTTTTCGTAGCTCTTTACTTCTTACAAGACATGAGATAATGGCCTCTATCTAGGATATTTGCTGTTGTTCACACATCGGATTGTGACCATACAGAGAACTCCTACAGATATGTTGCCATGGTTTACCTGTGAATCTATTCGAATCGTTGAGTTAGTAAAACTTCGAGAATTAGGAGGAGACAGTGCTAATCAATTAGTAGTTTACTGTGTATAATGGGGATGTGTGTAGTCCACTACTACTTAGGAGAAGTGATATTAGCGTGGTGGCTATATTTTGCCTTGTGGGCCCTTGGTTACTCTGGTAGGATGATATTTTACTTCCATGTGACTGTCATGCTAGTTTAGTACTAGTAAAACGAACTTGTCATAGTGTGGATAGCACTATATGAGTGGACATATTTGTTGTTTTTGGAGGTATGTTCATCCAATTTCTGAGGAGGTTACGTGATGATTTTCGAGCTATTTGGTGTCTCTTGCCAGGCATAGTCACAGTCTATTGCGACTCCACTGCAGAGTATATCCGTCTTGTTTCAGGTGCCCTACTGATCATATACCGAGTTCAACTCGCTTGATTACATCCAATCCTATCAGACTTTTGTCCCGGAGATGACATCTCCCGGATCTAATGATAAAACCAATAATAACCTGCATTAATGCACAAGTTGCAAGGATGTCCAGTAACGTGACCAACAACAACTCCCGAAAGTGACATCTTGCTTTATCATGCCCACTAAACCGTAAATCCTTCTGAAACTGGATCCTCCAAGCACAAAGCAGACAAGCGAGCAAGCAAGCAGACAGGCAGGCAAGGCGCTCTCGGCTCCGAAGTGGGCCATCCACCTACTGACCCTGCTGCTTCAGTGGCCTGTCACTCGTTGCCATGTCTGACTGCCTCGCCAATTCTGCACCAGTCGAGCAATTCTACTTAGACTTCAGAAACCGATTTGTTTTCCTGGAAGCGTGCTCCACTGACTACCCTCTCAGATTTGGCCTTCCAAAAACGGTACTCATGAACAATTAGCTTCACTTACAGCCTCCACAGCTCGATGTACCCTGCACGCGAGTATTCCGACATAAGTTGGGACTTTCATGATCTCGCTGCGGTTCGGGATACCCAAACTCAATCGGCGGTGGCACAGTCGGTGACGCCGATGACCTCAAAGACTTTCCAATCATCAGCTGGACTACGACAGGGATGAGGTGGCTGAGTGTTGAGCGGACGCGTGTATCCTGCACTGTCTGACCGATCCACTTCGTTTATACTTATACGAGGGAGCTTTCATTGTTCCTGTGAGATTGCAAGCCCCGCAGCTTGCGAGTGGGCAAGACAAGGCAATCGCGCTGCAAACAGGATTGCTATGCCCAGCTGAAGTCCCACTCCCCATTGGGATGAACATACACCATTGAAACTTATGCATCAGGCCATGTCTTCGGCAGTGATTGTCATCCTTCTTGCGCAGAATTCCTTCCAAAGTGACCAAGCTGTACAATGATCGGGCGCGGCAAATAGTTGCTTGTTCCTTCCCAACTTCTATTGGGATGTATGAAGGCTTTCACACATTATCATCCTGTCAACCTCGTGGACCGGATTGTTTACCCGTCGGCCGGATTTGAATACCGAGTCGATGACATGACACGTCGACATCTATCACCAAATGGTCTTCCGCGGATCAGTTTGCGAATATAGTATTTGCGTGTCGGAAAGGGCCGCCCCATCAAGCCGTGTCGGGCATGGCGCCATCCACAAGGACCTATGAGGGCTGCAGATGAGGCTTGGAGCTGACGAGTCCTCGACGGATTGACCGCACTGGAGAAAGTAAAGATAACCGGGGAGGAGGAGCATCAGTAAGGCAGCGCCAAATAAGAAGAAGAGATCGGGTTCTCACCAGCAGCGGCTCGACCCGCTAGTCGGCTCCAACCGCCTGGCGGATCTGGCTTCTGGGCGCTTCGATCCGAAAAGCCCCCCATCCCACTACACTTTTTCCTCGCTACTGGCTCATGATCGCTCTTATGGCCTCAAAAGCGGTCCGGACTATATCCCTTGAGGGTCTTGAAATCGTATCGTGTTGGGAGGCTAGCAAGAATATAATTTGAAGGCCTCCGATGTCGCCGCCGTGGTATAAACTCGGCATCCCTTTCTATGGGCTCTTGCATGATTTGCCTCCCATACTACTGTTCCATTCTTCTTTCCTTCTTGAACCGTTCCTCCTTCCTTCCTGAACCGTTCTTCCTTTCCCTCTAAACATCCTTTAAATCCCCTACTAACCCCACTTTAATGGGTAGCGGGATACAGAATCTTTCTAGAAAAGATGGGCGAACTCCAGCACTATCCGGCCGATACACCCAACGTGCCCTTCGCACAACGCCCGATCATCATTCTGGGTGCGGGCATTATTGGTTGTGCTGCAGCACGACAGCTTCTACAGGACGGCTTTCCAGTCATCTTGGTCGCTGAATATCTACCTGGTGATCAAGATTTCCGCTATGCATCCGCATGGGCTGGGGCGGCATGGCATCCAGCGGGCGGAATTTGTTCGGAATGGCGATATCTCCAAGCCATCAGTCATCGCCACCTGCTGAAAATGGCACAAGAAGAACCCGAATCTGGAGTCAGCATTGTCGATGCCCTGGAATATGTTGAACGACCTCCCGCTGAAAACTCGTCGGCATGGGGAAGGACTCTGGCTGCCAAGGTAAGACAGCTCGCACAAGCAGTAATAGACATAGCTCAGGGGTTGACACAAGACTTAGTGGCGTGACTTACAACCGGGTGAATATCCATCCGAATTCAGCTGTGGATGGTCGTACGAGACTCTCGTCACCGATCCCACCATCCACATGCCGTATCTGGGCAAGAAGATCACTGCTCTGGGCGGCCATTTCATTCGCAAGCGGGTAGAGTCTCTTGAAGACCTCTATCACATGTTCCCCGAGTCAAGTATATTCATCAACGCTAGCGGAATTGGAAGTCAGACCCTCAAGGACGTCCAGGATGACCAGTGCTTCCCGGAAAGGGGGCAGAACGTGTTCTACAAGACGGAAAACTGTCGCACAATGTACTTCCGGAACGGCCAAGAATACACCTACGTGATCCCTCGGCCCATGTCACATGGTGTCATTTTGGGAGGAGTCAAACAAGCTGACAATCTGTAAGGCCTGATCACGAATACCCAAGCAGCTACACCTTTGGGGACACCGAATACTAATTCTATAACAGATCCTCCGAGCCAGACATGGAAATCGCCCGAGATGAGATCGCACGCGCACACCGTCTCGCGCCCGAAATCGTTCCCGAGAACCCACCCGAAGACACCCTCAGCTACATCGTCGGCATCCGGCCCTCGAGGAAGGGTGGCTTCCGCTTAGACTCGGAGCAGCACGAAAGCCGGTACATCCTCTCAGCCTATGGATTCGGCGGAGGCGGCTATGCCTTCTCGTACGGAGTCGCCGATGCACTGTGCAAGATGGTGGAAAAGGTGGAGCGAGAGAATGTGATCTGATCTAATCCTTGTGATCGAGGGTGCTGATACCTTCATGGGAAGAATGCTGGCCATTCAGCCCCGTGGATGTGACGTTGATGTTGACGTTGACGTTTAGTAGATTCATTAATTAACATTGAGCAGTGTCGTCGCAGCACCCTCAACGCTATTATTAATACAATGCATTAGAGTACTCATAATCTAAAGCGAAGAGTTGTCCATAACATGCAGGAAGTTAGCTACCCCAGTAATCAACCATCCATAGTACCGACAATCCCCATTTCCGCCTCAGGCAACAATACAAACATACACCTCGTACCCGTATTGAAATAACAAATCCTGACAAGACACCCCTCCTTCAACGCTGACAAATCTACTGCCTTGCCAAGCAGATCAGTCAATATGCGTGTTGTGATTGGACAATTATTCTCCACGATCCAGGGAATCAGTGATTAAGCGTGTCAGCAGGGTGCATTAGCGTCTGCCTTGCGCCTTGGTTCTCCGGACGGTGGAGATCGTATCTCCGGAGGGGAAGGGAGTGGCATAGGATTTGGTCGTGTAGAGAGTGTGATGATGATGTTAGTATTGTTGCTGTGGTTAGATTGAGTGCTTATTCTTATGTTTATGTTTATGCTTATTATATGTATGTCTGTGCATACGTATGGATCTATAGTATACTATATGTTGTGCTACACTAGTTGCTGTAGGGGAATACTAGATAGGTTTAGGATCATCACTGCACTCATGCATATGTACTCACTCACAGTAGGTATAGTAGTTTGCACTATGGCTTTATATGGAAAGGAAGAGAAGAGAAGATCATAACCCGTTATATTCAATCGACTTACTCATCACATCATCATTCCTAACAATCAACACCTTACAATAGCCATGGCTGCACCCTACAAATACCTAATAATCATCTTCTCCCCCCTCTTCTGCCTCCAGCGATTCGTACTCTTCAACAACTCAGGACACCCCCTCAACACCCACGGCCACTTCCTGAGAAACTGCTCCGTGACCTCCCAATTCGCCGGATCCGACGGCTCTCCCCACACCAACAAACTACACGTATCGGACGCATTATCCCAAAATCCCATAACATCATGACAAAGCTCATCATCATCGAACCGATCAATCATGAGACACAAATTATCCCGGAGACGCGGCAACGGGAAGAAATCTAACCACGGGTGATGCGGCACCTGCATTTGGATCTTCGTCGGACGGAGACTCACAGGCAATCTCTTTTCCTGGATAGCCTCGGGCGGGAGGGTGTTGAAGAGGGAGAGGGCATCGTCGTCGTCACACCAGGTGGTGCAATTGCCCAACCCGAGGACCGTCATGTTGGTCATGAAGGCGCGGAAGACGTTTAGTTTGCTGAGCGTGAGGAGGTGGTCCGCGGACGGGGAGCCCCGGAAGTAGCTCTCGTAGGCGACCCGTGCGAAGTGCTCGAATATTCGCCGGATGTTTTCCGGTTTGGAGGCTTCGCTGGTTAGGGTGCGGCGGGTGATGAGGGTTTGGGAGGATGGAGAGGAGGAGGAGGAGGTTGATGATGATGATGATGATGATGGGCTGGTTTGCTCATGCTTGGTGTTGGTGCCTAGTGCTGGTGGTGGGTGTGGTTGTGAGGAGGATGACCGTGTGACCAGGGCATTGTTGCTGTTGCGTTCGGCTTGTTTTCGTTTCCCTTTGATTATTTGACGTTAGTTGAGATTGATTATAGATGGGCATGTGGTGGATGAATCTCACGGTATGCTCGCTGGTTCAGCCGGTTCTGTCGTCGTCGACGTTCCTGGCGGTCGCAGAGACCAGCCCAGTCATCTTCAGGGTCCACTTGAGCGGCGGCGGTAGAAGCAGCAGCAGCAGCAGCGGGGGTCACCACGGGGAGTGGCGGTGATGAGGAAGACCGCGTGGCTTTCTCCGTGCTGATGTCTTGACTAGTCGGCGACCGTAGCAAGTCCGATCCCATGTGAGAGTATATGAATTGGATGGATTCCTGTACTGAGAGGCGAGAGATGATGATAGTGACGATGGGGGGGGATGATCGGAGAGAGAATGCCGCTATAACGGAGTAGGAAAGGCAAGTCGAAATCCCATGAAAAGAGCAGGTCCGCCGGTGCTTTTAAAAGTCCAGCGCTGCGACGGTTTCGAATGGGTTTCGAGGACACTAACCGGAAGGGTAGTAGTGGTTGCTCATCATACATATGGTATGGTTCGGTAAATACTAGTGTTACGTTACGCGTTAGGAGAACATCGTCTATGAGTTGGTAAGTTGTACATTCATTCTGTGTCGATAATAACCTAATCAGGGAGTTCTGTGAAAGAGATGTCTTCAGCAGGAAGCAGAAGAAACCTATACTGTACATATCGATTAGAATACAAACAAGCCACCCAAACGCTAACTATGCTGAACAAAACAAAACTAAGTGCTGCGAGACCTTGTCTCTTCTCCCTTGATGACTCGCTCTAGATGTGCTCGCTCTCCACTGTTCTCTACCAGATTTCGAAACACACCTCCCTCGATGTCAAGCAACTCCTGCGGTGTGCCAAACTCCACGGCCTTTCCGGCGTCCATCACGAGGATTCGATCAAAATCCGCAACCGTGCTGAGGCGGTGCGCAATGACAAGGAGCGAGGTAGCATTGCGTCCAAACTCTTCCCGAATGGACCGCTGAATCAAAGCTTCGGTTTGCATATCCACTGCGGAGGTGGCCTCATCCAGGATCATGATCTTCGGCTGGGAGACTATGGCACGCGCCAGGCAAAGTAGTTGCCGTTGGCCTTGGGAGAGATTGAGCCCTCCCTGAGAGACGACTGATGACAATGACGCGAAAAAATTGCTTGTTTTGACCGGTTCCGTGCTCGAGTTCGCGGATGACGGCAATGTACTGCTGTCGCTCAGTGGCTCGCTACTTGAATGCGACGCCAGGGTCAGTGTATCCTCGAACGAGACCAGATGTACGCGTTCTAGAGCGTTGTAGAGTTCCACATCACTATACTCGTTGAATGGATCCAGATTAGACCGCAGCGTTCCCGAAAATAGCACTGGGTCTTGTGGAATGATGGCAAGACGGCTCCGTAAAGCTTCAAGCTTGATTTGCGAGATATCCAGCCCATCAATGAGTATGCGCCCTTGTCGGGCCTCGAGGAAGCGGAACAATGCCAGGGTTAGCGATGATTTTCCGGCCCCGGTACGTCCAACAACGCCCACTCGCTGGTTGTTCTCCATAGTGAAGGTAAGGCCGTCAATCACAGGAGGCAGGTCGGGGGCGTACCCCACAACCAGATCCTCAACTTCGACCTTTCCACGCGTGGGCCATGCCGCTGGCGGGTTATGGCCCCCTTGCTCCTCCAGCTCAATGTTGCAGTACTCCAATACCCGCTCCGTAGCATTCATATCTGTTTCCACATTTGCATAGAAGCGCAGGCCCATCGACACAGCATAATTGTACTGTAGCGCAAATGTCATGGCGAAGCCTGCCAGTGCCGGTGAGATGCTGGGAACGTACACTACCAGAGCTGCTGTCATCCCGGCCAGTACGGCTCCCGCAATACTCATCCGAAATGATAGCCATCGGTCTAAAAGCCAGAGATACCACGCCGCCTGAGCATGACGATCGATGCGCTCATACATATCTTTCAGGTAGATCTCTGCTTTGTTAAAAGCTCGAATTGTGGTCAGACCGGAAAGGCTGGACCCAAACCGTTCTAGGACAGGACTCTTAGCGGTACTTTCGAGTCGTTTGATCTGACGCATTCCCGTGAGGTAGATCTTGGAGAGTCGAAAGCATAAGACCAGCAGGATACAGGCAAGCACCAACAGTATCGGGGATACCAACACTCCTGCTGCTAGTATACTAGTCAGCTCCAGAGCCTTGAACACGAAGTGTCCAATATCATAACCGAGCCTCCAGTCAAGAATGTACATGTCAGATGTGAATCGATTGAGGATCCGGCCGAGGGGCACCGTATCTAGCCATCGCAGCGGTGAGCGCAACACAGCTGCTAATAGGTCATCAAAGAGTCGCTGGGAAGATTCCAGAGACGCAAGGGCAAGAGCCAATGTTCTCAGGGTTCCAATGATACACGCGGCTACCGAAAAGCATACATATATGCTGAGATAGAACATGGAGTCCTTGTCGACAAAACGTCTGTTGACATCCATTGTTCGAGATTGGATGGCACCGTTCGAATCGGTCAGTTGGGATGAGGATGCGGACGAGTCTGTCCAAACGCTTATCCACCAGGACTAAGAACGGTCAATTTGGTCCGTGACTGGAAGAATATGGGGACTTACTCTTCCGACTAAAAGCGCCATGAATGCGACATAAGCCAAAAACGTTATCATCCACCAGCGTAGGCATTTCCCCTTGGTCATGTATGTTGTGTACACTTGCAGGGACACAGCTCCTTTCTCGCGCCTCTCGTCTTCCGTGAACTTCCTTGGAGGCTCGGCAACACTTGTCGCTACTGAAAAGCCTGACTCAGTAGATACGCGCTTCATCGGTGTTATCGGTGTCACAGGTTCGTCGTCTACCACATCGGCATTGCGACCATTTGATGACTTGGCAGATTCGCCCAACAAGTCTATCAAGTTCTGAGTGGCTGCCAATTCATCTACTGTTCCAGCATGAATTGTAAGCCCGTCAGACAGAATAACACAGTAGTCAGTCCGAGACAGGCACAAGCCTAGATGATGCGTGACCAGGATCCTGGTCCTGCCATGGCCTAGCTTGCCGATAAGGGCATGCTCATACACGTGGCGCCCAGTCTCAGCGTCAAGTGCACTGAATATATCATCCATAACTAGGATTCCGGCACGAGAATAGAGAGCACGGGCAAATGAAATGCGCCAGCGCTGACCACCACTCAAATTAATCCCATTTGCACCAATATCGGTCCGATCGGCATCTGGAAACATTGCGATGTCTTTCTTCAAGCCTGCGGCGTAAATGACTTTGCGGTATCGATAACGATCGTACGGAAGGCCGAAAAGGATATTGTCCTTGATAGTGGCGTTCTCCAACCAGGGGTTCTGAGCAACATATGCGATGGCCGAGTCAATGATCCAGTTGTGGCGAGTGGCTCGCTGATCATATGTCCTGTTTATGGAAGGAGCATGGGGTACTGCCACGGTCCCAGATAAGACATCACACTCCCCCAAGATTGAGGCTAAAAGTAGGCTTTTCCCAGAGCCAGTCTTTCCGGA